GCGGTTGATTCTTACTTCCATTTATTACTTTACGATTACTTTCAAAATTTCAATTTTATTTATTTTATGAAATCAATAATTTTTTCACTTTGTAGTTTTAAAGAATAATGTAATTTTGCAAAAAAACTTTCACGAGGAAGCATATAAACTGGTTAGAAACAAAAATAAAGTGGCCTCAATGTAAATCCGTCGATCTCACTGACAACATTTTTGAGTAAACCAAAAATTTATAACAAGACAAGCTATGCTTAGACAATGTTACCTATACAGTAATATTAACAAAGAGTTAAAAATCGCACAACGAAATAGATTTAAAATCAAGCATCGACTGACTGAGTGGTTATTAGTTAAGAGATTACTCTGCTACTGAATTACTACTACAGTTCGTAAAGTGACTATATATTTCACACACACACACACACACACACACACACACACACACACACACACACACACACACACACACACACACACACACACACACGCTCGCACGCACGCACGCACACACACACACACACATACACACACATTTAACTCAAACTGTCTTTGGTATATATTATACATACGGTCATCATCCAATCAACAGTGTCTTCATCGTCTCAATGTCCAATGAAACACACTATTGTAATTCCTTAGAGCCGTAACCTGTCTCTTAAGATACAGGATACATGGTTCAAATTTTGAATATACAACAATATTTTGTAACTTTAAAACTTTAGCGTATAATACTGTAAATACCAATTGTGTCTGCTAGTTTAACTGTTGTCACACCTTTGGACCAATAAATATATTTATTATTATTATTATAATGCAAAATAATCTCGTCATTCCATGAATGCGGCGTGGGCACTGGGCACATGGAAACAAGAATGACTTAGAAAAGGAACAGAGGAAAAGGCGATCGAGTACATTAAGCGACTATTCAGAAGAGGAATTGTCTTTTGGTTTGGTCATAAATTTGAAGTCTAAAGTCTATATCTCATCTAAAACCTCAATATACAAAATTAAAAGAATCAAGATTGTTTCCTAAAGTTATGCAGTTACCAATGCCTGAAGAATTAGAAGTTAATGAAAATGTGCTAGATGCTGGGAAATGATTTCTGTTATATTTTTCTTATAAAAATCTTATTAGTGTAATTTAACACTAATTTTACAAAACTGTGGAATAAATTGAGCTCTCAATTGATTGAACAGTTAAAATTTATGTTATATTGTAATATGACACGTCATTTTGAAATACATGAATACTAGTCTTTTCTATTCTTATTATTAAACTTTTCCAAAACACTACTCAAATGCCATTACGTTATAGGAGGCGAGCCTATTCCTTTAAGGGGCCCCAGTATTGCCGGGGGCCCTGAGGGTCAGCAACGTCGCACTACTGCGACGACCGCAGCGAGTGCTGGCCATCAGGGTCATAAGGGGGTACCGCACGATCTCTTTTGAGACGGCGAGTCTCCTGGCCGGAACTCCACCGTGGGACCTGGAGGCGAGAGCCCTTGCGGCTCTGCATTAGTGGTGCAAAGCGGCGAGGAAGTTGGGTTGGAGTCCTGAGACTCGAGAAATCGCAACCAGAAATCCCAACTCAACCTCACTTGTAGAGGAGTGGAAGGAACGATTTGGGCAACCGAGCGCATGCCGTTATCGCGGCTGTAAGACCCCTTATGGAGGATTAGCTCGACAGGCGTCATGAGTGCACAAATTACTTTTGAGCTGCACGTGTCTATGGGCGGTTGTGGTTACTTACCGTCAAGTGACCCGTCTGCTCGTTTGCTATCTAAATAATTACAAAGTGATCGACTGGGACTTTTTTTTAAAGTTTACTAAGAGACCAACGAGTTTTATTCGTATGTTTAAGTAATATATACGTCGGTTAATACTACTTACTTATTCTCAATGGTGAGGACAAAAATGACTAAAGGTATTCTGTCACAAAGTAGGGCTTTATTCACACAGTGCACTTCAATTCTAATGTTTAAAGTTACTTATCGTGGAAAGACGGATCCGAGTAGTGACGGATTAAGAATACGGAATGTCACTACCCCAATTCATCCCGTGGGTGTCGTAAGAACCGACTAAGGGCGCAAAACAACGCAGGACACTAGCACTGCAAAAAGACGAAAAACTTGACACAAACCCTATGCCAACCCGCCTGGCCAGCGTGGTATAGTAGGCCAAAACCTTCTTTCTAAGGAGAGGCCTATGTCCAGCGGTGGTCTATTAAAGGCTGTTGATGTGATGATTGTGGAAAGAAGCATGAAAAATTACACATACTTACAAATTATTTTGTCTTTACAAAAAGAACGAATTTCCTCTGAATAATTACGTACTTATATTATGTAAGTTAACATTTATAGTGATAACATAAATGATAGAAGATATAAAATATCACAGAGTAAATCTTTATTCCTATCGGTACAAAATGATTACAAAATTAAATTTATTCTAACACTTTTAGTGGTTCAGCATCTGCTAATATCAGGTAGAGGCTTCCCCCTGCACTTGTTGATCCATCCGTACCAAGCGTTGAAGTTGTGTCGCCTGAATATGATCTTGGCGCAGTTCGACGCCTTGGTTTGCTTTTGGTTCTATTAGCATTCGTTTATAGTTGATGCCCTTTTCGTAGAGAGCTCGCCGATAAGAATCGCTCGAATCCAGGGAAGCGGCCACGACCTCATTAGCAGCTGTAGTCTTAGTCTCGTTTCGCAGCCGACGCTTTTTTTATTCTGGTCCCTTTTAATCTTCCTCTTTTGTATCATCTAAAATCCAGAACATAAAAGGAAACTCCAAAAAACTATTGTAAAAAATCTTTGTGCCTTTAGCGATTTGGTCACGTGCCTATCCATGATGTTGAACTAGAAGCCTGTTGACTCCGCCAATTTACCCAGCAAAAGCTCCTTTACTGTCATCTTAAAAGAGTGATGATTGGTAGCCCTCGTGACCTCGACAGGAAGCACATTCCACAAGATTGATTGAACGAGGAACGAAGAGCCAACAAACCCAGTAGTGAACGAAGGTTTCTGTACTGGGTACTGCATAGGAGTTGAAATAGTGGTGTTAAATATGTAAGAGGGGATGGGCCATTGACGATAGTATACATTTGCCTTTGACGAGTTGGTAACCATCTTAGCTAATAACGAAAACTGGAGACATGGTCATACTTACGAAAATTAAAGATAAATCAAATGCAGTTGTTGAGAAGACGATCTAACTTGTTGTGAAGATCTGCATTCAGGTCACAATAGCATACGTCACCATACTCGATTAAAGGGTAGATAAGAGATTGCACAAACGTTTTCTTAGTTTTCACGGTTCTTTCTTCTTCTTCTTTCTCAGTTTTTTAGACGATATAGTGTTCTGATTAAGTTGGTAACCCTCTGGCATACGTAGGTAACTCGATCGCGCCAGTTCAAAGTACAGTCGTATTGTAATCCTAGGTCTTTCACCGTTCGACAAACAGGTATAATGGTACCATTCAAATTTATTTTAGGAAGCGTCTCGAGATTGACTCTGTTCATCGAACCTTGACTGCCGATTATTATGGCTTGACTCTTTGTCGGGTTAAGGGATAACCCAAAACTTTCAGACCAGACCAGACTCATATCTCGTTAACGTATTTTTTGTTTAATCTGAGGTAGTATGACAAAAATATAGGGATTAAACATTCAGTTAACTTATCAATAAACACGCGAATCCAAGAACAAGAGTATTTCTGAATTTAAATGTTTAATTTTGTCGCATTTTTTTGTTCTCTTGACCAGAATTTCGCAGCTTCGCATACTCTAATTCGCTTATGGTCTTTTAATTTTGCAAGATGTATAAGTAGACATATTATTATTTTCAAGAAAAAACTTCTAAAGAAACTTTAAAATAAAAAAAATATTAATTTATTTATGACACACAATTTTACAGGTTCATTTTTTTTTTACAGGTTTTGTACCTAATACAATAGGCTAGCCATTCGTTGTTAAAAACATATGTAGTAATAAATAATACCTATTACATTAACAATTTTGACAACCTTACTCATCCCGCCCGCATCACGGCAGCCGGACCGACAAACACACTTAATTCCTCATAGTTAGTATCGTAGTATAGTATTATAGTATTAGTTAGTATCTTTAAAAAAAAAATAGGAATTTTCTGGACCAAAAAGCTAATTCTACCTGTCTATTTCGGGTACACCAAAACTAACCTGAAATGAAGAGATGTAACTCTTTACTCAATTCATATTGAACTATTTTATTTATTTCATACGATCAAATTCGTCATTACGATTTCTTAGTAACCCGGAACTTAGTACTTCTTAGTAACCAACAAAAGCACATCGCTAAAAATTACGATAACTTAAAAATAATAGTTTTACGAGGCAATTGTATTAAGGTGTTCCAGTTTCAAGTAGATTTGGTAAAATGTTTGAATTAGTGCAAAATTATCTGTGAGATATCTGTGTTTTAAGTTTAAAAACAAACATTGGAGATCATTCTATCTTAAGCTTTGATTGACTTTTCCTTTTTGAAAACTACCCATACAGCTTGTTCTAAGTTCTCATTGTAATGACCAGGCAATCTTGATTCAAGTTTTGCTACTAAATAACTTATAAAAGCCATCAAAACCTTTACTGATAGTAAACAATCAGCGCCCCAATGAGACACGGAGGTGAGAAAAGAAAGAAGGTGTGTATTTCTACATGTTTTTATTGCTAGACAATGACAAAGTAACTGATTATAAAAGTAAACCATTTTCTTAGTATTGACAAATATATTTATCATTATTTTCATCTACATAAATCTTTTTCAAACAACGATATTTGTTAAATTATCTATGTCGACCCACTTCTCCTAAATCTAAATCTTAGTAACAGAAATCATTATCTGAAACTGATATAAATCGCTTACCGTACATTAAAACCGCAACACATCCGTGATATATATAAAAGCATTTCGTCGTGCAGCTCAGACACGGTTCTCTCTCTGTAAGCATCACTTCAGTAACGAGACATGAACAAGTTGGTGATACTCCTGATCGCTTCGGCAGCTCTCTGTTTACATTGTGAGGCGAAAGTGTTCACAAGATGTGGCTTGGTCCAAGAACTAAGAAGGCAAGGCTTCCCGAGTAACCAACTTCGTAATTGTGAGTTTGCTTTTGAAAACATATATTTCACAATAAATCAATTTATTGTTTTATCGTAATGTTGTAGTTATAATGTGATGTATTCAAGACAAAATATAATGTCCAGGGGTATGTCTGATTGAGGCGGAGAGCAGTCGCAACACGGCCATAATCAGTGAGCCCAACAGCAAAGGCTGGCGGGACTGGGGCCTGTTCCAGATCAACGACGAGTTCTGGTGCAGCACTACCAACTCGCCCGGGAAGGACTGCAACGTCCGCTGTGCTGGTAACTAGCTGTCATTGTAATGACCATGGCTATGCCTCACACATAAAAAGGACATTCTCAACAATATACATTCACTTTCAGACCTGATAACGGACGACATCACCAAGGCGTCGAACTGCGCCAAGATCATATTCAGGCGACACAACTTCAACGCTTGGTACGGATGGATCAACAGGTGCAGGGGGAAGCCTCTACCTGATATTAGCAGGTGCTGAACAACTAAAAGTGTTAGAATATATTTAATTTTGTAATCATTTTGTACCGATAGGAATAAAGATTTCCTCTGTGATATTTTATATCTTCTATCATTTATGCAATGAACACAAACGTCAACTAGTTACAATATTCGTGTGTACGTAACGATTCAGATGAAATACGTTCTTTTTGTGAAGATTAGATAAAATGTGTGGATAAATTTAATGTTTATTTTCACGACAAGGGCTAAAATGTCATGTCAACAAATCGCCTTGCATTCAAGAGAAAAGTGCGCGATCTTCTTCGGGGTGAATTATCGAAATAGTTACAGCCCTAGTTCCCGACTGAGTATTTATATATTTTATTAAATTTATGTAGGTTTATGTATGCATCTGTGTTTTTATATTGTGTATGTTTCTGGACCTAAATTATGTTAATATCATATTTTATTTTGCACCTACCGCATCATATTTCTACATCACCTGAAGGTTGACTGGGAGAGAATGCCTAATGGCATTAAGTCCACCTTTGTACAATATGTGCATTAAGTTTAAAATAAAATAAAAAATAAAATAAAATAAAATACTGGCATTTTTTTAAGAGTTTTGACAGCCAAAAGTGATGGACATGATTAACATCGTAGATCGGTTGCTGGTTTTGGCAGAAGCATATAAAGGTGCCACTTATGTTCTATTTGATGTTGTATAAAGTGCCATGATGAACTCCTCCCCCGCTAATAGTAAAAATCCCTTCGTTTTAGACCTGGAGGTTTACTTTTAATTTTTCTTACATGGTAGTCTCAAATTGTAGCAATAAATACATAACATAATGTTTAAACTTAAGTTTTTACTTACGTCTTCACCGACATAATACTCTCCTCAACCCTAGGTTCTTCTCTTTACTCTCTCTTGCTTCCATTATAAGGTGCAGTGTGTGGCTTTCGTTTAACAAGTCGTTACCAATAAGATATTCTTAATTTCTTTGCATCAATTTTGAGACAAATGCGTTGAAATAAAATCATTTAAATCAATGGTCCTGTGCCTATTGCGAGTCGCACAATTAAAACATAATTATAAGACAATTTAGGTAGAAGACAATCCGAAATTTTTAGTTTTAGATCATGAACATAAAAGCTCAGAAACTTGTTGTTAATTTAAATATTACCATGGAATCACTTTAAAGTACTATTGGTCAGTAGTAAGTGGTGCTATAGTCCATCAACGCGACCGTCCTGCGGGGTGACAGACGGTGGCGGGGACGAGGTACTCAAGATGTCAGCGGGTAGCAGGTGGTGTAGCGGGGAAGGGAAACACTTCTCTTCGTGTGTAGCCGTGTGCTAGAATTACGCGCTAACTCGCCCCCGCCACTGTCTGTCACCCTGCGGGACGGTCGCGCACGAGATTGCCGGGTTATAGGCAATCTTGTTCTAAAAAAAGTTATTTGCTGTAAATGCAATTATTGTGACTTTTGTTACAGTTACGATTTGTTGCTTCTACCACAAGATTATACTTAAAAGCATTATTGTATTTACAAACATTTTCTCTGCTGTGTGATATCTTGTATTTTTACAAGTATAATGCAATACAACCTGCTTATATTGCGTCGCTGTTACCTTCTCGCCTGCCCGGTTTCTTTTTTTTTTTTCTTTTTTCTTCTCGGGCCGTACCCTGGCGGGGTTTTCAGTGGGGTGGTGTGTTGTAGTTGCACCGACTAAAACCACAAGGTGTGCCGCACTGCGTCTAAATAAGAGGGATCCGGGCACAGTTTTTATTAAGACATCCAGATTCATAGTGAGGACGAGCGACCGCCTAGTAAAGCGAAGCGCCAGCGTATGCCGAGTCCTCATTACACTCGCAGTGGTCAGACCTGCAACACTTGACCACTTGATGCTCAACGGTGCACCGTAGAGCGTCAAGTGTTTAAATATTTTTTGTCTGTCTGTTTGTGCCGGCTAATCTTCAAAACGGCTGGCCTGATTGTGGTAATATTTTACTACCAGGTAGCTGTGTATATAAAAAGTAACTTAGGCTATTTTCCCACTCGGAAAAATCCAATTTCTTTTTCTGAAATAGGTTTGGGAATAAAACCCGAGGCCTCATGTCCATGAGTCGCGTACCGTACTACACCTCTAAGGCAGCGTTTTTTAAATTCTACACGAACGAAGTCGGGGGTACCAGCTAGTTCTGAATAAAACTATTAAGCGTTACGTGAAAAATATTTTAAAAATATTCTAATGTTTCAAGTTAACCTAAAACCTATTGGGCCGTTCAGCACTTGCTAATGTCAGTTAAAGACTTTCCACTGCACATGACCGTTGACTGTACATACATATATTATGTAACTAGTTAACATTTGTGGTGATAACATTAATAATAGAAGATATAAAATATCACAGAGTAAATCTTTATTCCTATCGTTACAAAGTAAGATTAAAATACATTTTAATACATCAGTTAGTTGTTCAGCACCCGCTAATATCAGGTAGAGGCTTCCCCCTGCACTTGTTGGTCCAGCCGTGCCAAGCGTTGAAGTTGTGTCGCCTGAATATGATCTTGGCGCAGTTCGACGCCTTGGAGATGTCGTCCGTTATCAGATCTGAAAGTGAATGTATCTTGTTGAGAATGCCCATTCGTATGTGTTAGGCACACCCATGATCAGTACAATGAAGGCTAGTTACCATCACAGCGCACGTTGCAGTCCTTCCCAGGCAAGTTGGTGGTGCTGCACCAGTATTTGTCGTTGATCTGGAACAGGCCCCAGTCCCGAGAGCCGTTACTGTTGGGCTGACTGACTACGCCGGTGTTGCGACTGCTCTCCGCCTCGATCAGACACACCCCTGGAAACAGGGTGCAAATCCCATCATTCAAATTATTATATTTTGTCTTGAACATATTACATTACATTTTAAAAACAACAATACAATACAACAACACATTAAAAGTGTATATTTTTCAAAGCATACTTACAATCAGGAAGTTGGTTACTTGGGAAGCCTTGCCTCCTTAGTTCTTGGACCAAGCCACATCTTGTTAACACTTTCGCCTCACAACGCAAGCAGAGAACTGCCGAAGCGATCAAGAGTATCACCAACTTGTTCATGTTGTATGCGACTGAAGAAATGACTACTTCATGAAGTGATTAATGCAAAGAGAGAATCGTGTCTGAGCTGCACGACGGCTTGCTTTTATACCTACCACGGGCATGGTACTCTTTGTGTTGTACGATAATAGATATAAATTAGTCACGAAATGGGGATTCTTGTATATCAATGAATAGTTAAGGAAGAACAAAGGAATTTGCAGGTATGTGCAATGATGTGACTGAGCTAAGTTAGTAGGACAACGGCGATAACACAATATTTATCATTTTTTATTAACAACAGGGGAATCACTTTCTTTTATCTATGTAGATTAAATAACAAAGATTCATCATCAACAGCCTTTAACAGTCCACTGTTGGGACATAGGCCTCTCCTTAGAAAGGAGGTTTTGGCCTACTATACCACGCTGGCCAGACGGGTTGGTATAGGATTTGTTTCAAGTTTTCCTTCTCTTTGCAGTGCTGTTGTCCTGCGCAGTTTGTGATGAACAGGGGTGGTGACACCGTATTCTTAATCCGTCACGTAACAAAGATTAGTGAATTGAAATGTAATTTACTTTTAACAGTAAATAATAATAATTTAATAACACTATTAATAATAATAATATTTAATAATTTAGTTCTCATCAGTTTTGTGTTTTAACGTGGTTAAGAGCCGCATAATAAAGGCATTTGAACTTGAAAATAGCATAACTTTGTTTCTCTTCGTGTCTCGTTTTCTAGTGGGATGTTGCTAATATTTGCTGTTACAAAAAACTTAAAATGGCTTGTAAAAGGCACCGAACTTGAAAATTTATATTTCAACATTTCCTATGAGTCCAAATATAATGGGGTGCTATGAACTTTACCAAGATAATGTCTATGAACGGTTGGTATGTTGCTTGCTTGGAAATAGGCTAGACAGCAAGAATTGAAGAACAATGAAAACTCGCATAAACATTTACTTACTATGTTTCTAAATGTATCCATATATCTCAATATACAGTAATCGAAAACAGTCAAACTTTTATAGAATAGCAGTCCAAATAATAAAATTGCGTGTAATCGCCATTAGAATTAAGAAGTAAATTTAATAACCGGTCACAAGCATGAAGCATCGACTCGCCGTCGTCAACGATCACCAGAGGGCCTTATTTCACATCAACCCACTCAACAACGCTGTACGCGGTCACCGTGACGATCGTGAAGATGTGAAATAAACTCACACTAGGCCCTCCCAACTAAATTCGAGAAGTTTAAACTAACCAACTTTACCATTTAATTGGCTACAGGTACGCTGGCCGTACTGAGTTGCCAGACAACCTGAAGTCGATGTTTCGCCCTATTGCCATGTGCGTACCGGACTCGCTAACCATCGCTGAGAATACCTTGTTTTCTGACGGGTTTACAGCTTACAAGCTAAATGCTAAAAAGGTATTTTGTTAATCCCCAATTTAAGTAATATTCAAACGATTAGGTAGTACCTGTACTATAGTGACCAGACAGCTTTATAAATACCTATATATTACAGATATGTTACAACCAGATATCGAACAGAGTTGGCATCGAACCCTAGAGTCTTTAGATCTGCAGTCAGAATCACTACACCAAAAGGCCCGTTGATGATTTACTTTTGAGAAATATTTAAAAATACCAAATCTTTTGGACAATATAAAATTAATAGTAATACTGTATCCGCAACTACTTTTGAACAAAGAAGTCAAGTTCTTCTATCGCAACTAGTTGCAGATAGAGAAAAAAAAGAACTTTGTTGGGATGGCAGCCGGTGCTATAAATCAGGTCGATAGCCACCTTAAAAAGAAAATATTAAAATGTCCCATATATTTTTTTCTGTTCATCGCTAGTATACATTATAAAAACGATTTATCAGCAGTTTTGTTTGTTCAAATACACGGTTTCAGGTGTTTACACTGTACGAACTGGCAATGCAGCAATTGTCTAAACAGGATCACTACGACTTTGGTCTGAGATCTATGGTCGCTCTGCTCCGATATGCAGGCGTAAAGAGGCGGGCCTATCCTCATCTGCCAGAGTCTGAGGTTTGTAACACTTATATCTGACGATTTGCACAAGATGGCTGGCAGGGGCTGGATGCGAGAAGCACAAATCGATCTAGTCCAGCAGTGGACTGCGATAGGCTGATGATGATGATGATATCTGACTAGATTCAACAATTTTGCTAACTTGTAATCTTATTCGAATATGAGGCCCTGCTTTTTGTATATTTTTTTTATGGAATAGGGAGACAATAAATGAGCAGACGGGAGAATACTGCCGTTAATGAACACCGCAAAACAGCTTTCCTGTGAGGCCAGGGTATTACTCTTGTCAAGACGGCCCGTACGTGCCAAAATATGGCTCACACTATTCTTATTCTCTGTAGATGGTCATCTTAGCTATGCGCGACATGAATGTAGCTCGTCTCACGGCTAAAGATGTCCCTCTATTCGATGGGATAATGCAAGATATCTTCCCCGATGTGGAGGTACCCACGCTGGATTACGAGGTTCTAGAAACTGCTATAAGTGCGGAGATGAGAGCTGCGGGACTGCAGCCAGTTAAAGCTGCGTTACACAAAGTTATACAGACATATGAAACGAAGGTATTGCTATTTATTTTATCACTCATTTTGAACTTGTGAAAAGTTATAACAATTATAAGAAAATGAAACTTACATGAGTTCCGTCATGTAGTACGGCAGTTTCCTATGGTTTCAGTTTTTATAACTCCGCATGAAATAAATATCCAACACTGATAATATAACGACATAACACTGTAAAGGGTCTATCATCTTGTTAAACCAAACGGCTTCTCGGCCCTTATATGGCAGGGCAGCCGTTATCACATTCATTCTGGTGTAACTCCCTTAAATTAATAAAAAGTGTTTGGTATACCAAAGCCATATTTTATTGACTTGTAAAGTTTTGACTTATCTGTTCTCCACTAATCCATAATTAGTATGTTTTCATAGCCATATTTTATTTTATTTAATAATATTGCTCTTACTGACACACTTGACATTTTTGGCATAATTGTAATTCTATTGAAACGTTATTATCCTCCGTATGTTGTCATCTTGGTATAGGGAAAACGAAGCAACAACGAAAACACCGTATCATTTTTGAAAGTTATGTACATTTGTAATTTGCAACAGAACTCACGCCACTCTTCAATTCTGCTGGGTAACACAAACACGGCCAAGACAGTCTCCTGGAAAATGTTAGCAGCGACCCTCTCGCGTCTCTATCGTCAGAAGATGGCAGGCTTTGTGAACGTCAACGTGTTTCCTATTAATCCTAAAGCTTTGACTCTCGGGGAACTATACGGGGAGTACAACCTGGCTACAGGGGAGTGGAAAGATGGTGTACTTTCGTCTGTCATGAGGACTGTTTGTCAAGGTACATGTTTATTTATGCTTCAAGTATATTTACATCAAAGATTGCTAGTCAGTGTGCGGTGTGAGTATGATAGGATGGAAAGAAGTGAGGCGAAATACAAATTTCCAAAATTATAAATTATTTTGGGTATTTCAAACTCTAAAAACTTGTTGAATTTACTATTTTGAACAACTCTATAGTAACCATACAAAAACTAGTAAGTTCAAAGTAAGTAAGTTTTTAGATTTTGAAGCAAAAAGCAGAATAGTAAAAGATGCAGGGTCTAAGTAACTCCATGTGATTATTGACACTGTTTTAGAAGGTAATTAGGAAATGATTCTTTGGTAGCCTGACTGTCTAAGGCATCAAACATTTATAGTGAACAGTTATTTAGAGTTCTCGCTACGTCGCTGTTTTAGTTTTTAACAAGTACACAATAGCAACTAATGTCGATGGGAGTAGGGGGATAAAGAAATTATGTCGGGGCATCAGGGACTTCCTTTCCTTATTAGTACCCGAGACGGCGTGCGTAGTCGGTTCGAGTCCGATATGCCACACGGTGGTATCCGAGGGGATTTCCGCACGGAAAAAAAGGGGGATAATGATAATTAAACACCAATCTGGTTGTACAGTCGCAGCAACTGTTATTGCTGTCTAAAAGCATTTTATGTACCTTAAAAAAGACATATCTGCGTTCTCGTTAGTGTCCTGCAATGAAGGCAAATTTGAACTGAAAAATAAGGATTTTAACATAAAATTTTCAACACAGACGAGTCTCTGGAACAAAAGTGGATCATATTCGATGGACCCGTCGATGCAATTTGGATAGAAAATCTCAATTCTGTAATGGACGATAATAAACTGCTTACTTTAGTGAACAGTGAGAGAATATCCATGCCAGCTCAGGTTCGCATTGAATTTGCAATAAGTAAATACTATTTTACATGGTATATACATACAGTGTGTAAATAATGATATTAATTTTGGGGATCTTATATATGAGTAGTTACCGAATGTTTTATTTATGGGCTTCTGAAGTATAAAGTTTTTTCTGGTCACGCTCCTCGTTCTCGCCGAAAATGTTGATCTCGTACTGAATTCAGCACCCCTATATTTATTATTGCTAATGATTTAGATTCTGCCTCGGTGGTGCACAGTAGTGGTAACGTATGCAACTGTTGTGCTGAGTTCGCAGGTTCGATTCCCAACTCATCATCACTCTCCCACTCAAACTCATTCAAACATGGGTCTGACCAAATGTTTGAATGATCTGCAAATATTAGTTTCGGAGATTGGGTGTTTTCTATGTATAAACAAAGAAGTTTATGAGTGTTCTATCAGTCAGTCTAGTACAGACTCTGATTAGTTCAATGACTGTGCAAGCCACCCTGAATAGTTTAACCCTTTTTTATTATTCACAAAAAACTAAAGACAACTATATTTCTTAGGTATCGATATTAATCGAGACTCTAGACTTGGCCGTGGCGTCTCCCGCCACCGTGTCCCGTAACGGCATGGTATACAATGATTACAAGGACTGGGGCTGGTGGCCATTCGTTAACTCTTGGCTAGAAACTATCGAGGATTTGGAGTACAGGGAAATGGTAAGTGTGTGCATTAACCAGATCCTAGTGGACCCATTTACTCTGTAAAAAGCGGAAAAGAGTTAGTTAACATCGGTTTTCTGTAAGGCCGTTGTAAGAGTATCTATATAAAGAGACCAACTCGACTAGAGCGATGCGGTTTTTTTAACAATCCCTACCACACGCTCACCCCTGTAACTCCTGTACACCAGGTTTAACAGCAGTGACCCACGAACACACCGAGTTACGACACTCGGGAAGTCCCATGAAAAAATTAAAACTATCTTGGAACCCGCAACGAAATTAATTAGAAGAATTGGAAGAGCGATGCGGTTTCGCACAAGACCGGTGTTAAGCGATAAAAGTCTTTCATTGTTTTTTATTTGGTGAGTGACCGGAGGTCCAACCAGTCTACCTAACGCACTTCTTTCTTCGTGATCCAGAACCCGTCTGCTCGCTTGCCTTCTGCATCATAAAAGAAGGTTGTCATGTTATAAAAGTTGTATGATGTATTGTTGCAGCTACGTTACAACTTTTCGAGTATTCTAACTCCTGTATTGGAACTGAAGCGGCTCCATCTTCAAGAGGGTGAAAGTGTAAAGGGCCAGGAGCTGACGGGAGTGAGATCCATGTGCCGACTGCTGGGCATGCAGCCTGCTCCCGGCCCTCCCGGACCTGATGAGGAGGACAATGAAGTTCTTGCTAAGATGAGATTTCTTTTTGCGTTAGTTTTTTTTGTCTTATACTTTATTATTCACTGAGCCTGGATTTCACTTTGGTCGTAGTTAGTAGCGTTAGTAGTTAACGTACATAGTTTCTACTTAGAACTCATGACACTAATATTATATTAGCGAAAGTGTGTGTGTGTGTGTGGGTGTGTGTGTGTGAGTGTGTGTGCGTGTGAGTGTGTGAGTGTGTATAAATGTTAGTTACTCTATAAATGTAACATCTTAAAGTGCAGCCCGAATTGTCCTCCATTACCAATATAATGTTTCTATTTTTTTATATCTTCAAATCAACATCAAATTTAAATGATTTGACAATAGCGCGGTATGACGTCACGTGTTATTATTTCAAACTCACTCTTTATTTCATAAAAAAATTAAATTGCTTAAAATCGTCTTTTATGTAGACAATCTCTGTTTTGTCAAAAAGTAAGCAAAATACATTTAATAAAAATTAAACTTATCTATGATACGCCTGTGCCGATCTACAGCCGTCCGTTTCCAAAGGGTTGAGCCTTGATGTACAAGAATGTATCGCGTCTATCGTTTTAAAGTTTGTTGAAAAGATAAAGCTTTGACTTGAGCCCCATCTGCCACATTGTGCTAAACAGTTAAATTAATAAATGAGTGTTATACAAACAGCCTGGTCTGGTCGGTATGTGCAACTCTTGAAGATGAGCCTCGGAAGAAGATTGACAACTGGATCAGGGAGCACGAGGGCGTTTTTCCACTAAAGGACACCGTATACGATTACTACGTGGATGAGAGGCTGCGTGTCTTCAAACCGTGGGAGGATAAGTTGCCTGATAATTGGAGATTTAATCCTTCGTAAGTTACAGTTCTTTATAATAATTTCTTGCAAGTCAACCGCTGTAGAGCCCCTCCCCCTTCTCTCCCCGAGTAGAGAAAATTATTATGACTTTTTAATTATTATGATTATTTTTGTAGATTCTTAGGGGTTAATATGGATTTTTGTGGAATGGGGTAACACGAGCAGACAGGTTACCTGATAAGGGTTTACCGCCACCCATGGACACTTGCAAGTCAATAGCGGTGCCACCCTTTGTGTGACTAGAATTAGGTTGAGTCGGATTTAGCTGTGCTTTGCTAAAAGCAACTCAGTTAAGGCAACAAAACAAAAAAATAATTAACAGCAGTTTCTAGCAGCAGTGGTATTACTCCGGTCGAGCCGGCCCATGTATAGTAATTGAACCCACGACTTCTCCCTTAGCAGCCATGATCGCTAACCACTATACCAACAGGCTCGTTTAAGAACAGAAATTCAGTAATAAATTTCTCTTCTAGCTCTGGATTCCACATGATTTTGGTACCAACTGTGGAATTCATTCGAGTGCAAATTATCGCTCTCGAAATGCTAAAAGCAGGGTACGGGGTATTGATCGGTGGGCCCACGGGCACGGGCAAAACGTTCCTCATTCAAGGTACCCTGGTGCAGCTGGACCCTGAAAAGTAAGTAGCTCTTACTAAGAATGTATTTTTAACTATCTGTATCCTAGCACGCTTGCCACGCTGTGGCACCTTCAGCTGTCCTGGCTGGAAAAATAAATAAAAAGAATATTTGAAGCTGGTTAGTATATCGTGTCATTTGAGCTCAATCTTAACATTTTTCTATATACACATATAATTATTTTAATATTCATCTTCATCATCATCATCAACAGCCTATAACAGTCCACTGCTGGACATAAAAGAGCTCTCCTTAGAAAGGAGGTTTTGGCCTACTATACTACGCTGACCAGACGGCTTGGTATAGGGTTAGTTTCAAGTTTTCCTTCTCTTTGCAGTGCTGTTGTCCTGCGTAGTTTGCTCCCTTAGTCGGCTTTTACGACACCCACGGGATGAATAGGGGTTGTGACATTCCGTATTCTTAATTCGTCACCACACGGACATATTATATCAGAATCATGGTCTGAATACACTATTTCAGTTTTCGGTACGATGTCCCTTACACCTTGTATATATATAGATAGATAGTATTTAGGTAATTTACATAATATCAAATTATGTACACACGTTTCTTTTCACGTAACTTTTGATTAATATGTGTAAATAGTAACATTTATTAGTGCATAATTATATTTTGTTATTACAAGTAAGTGTCTTGTTATTGTATTTTACAATGTTTACTCATACTAAAGTAGTATGAGAAAATATTGTAAATTAAGTAAATAGCTTTTTACTACTTTCTTCAAAAACCAGAATCGATATAAAAATATTAATTTTCGAACTTATTTACGTCTTAGAAAACTTGTCCTGACATAGATTAATCAAACAGGTTCTGACAGACGTTCTGAAGGTCGGTTATTCTAGTAATAAAGTATCGTTCAAAATTCAGTTCAGAGCTACTTTCCATATCAAAAATATCATAAAAGGTGTTCTCGTAGTAAAGCATTAAACATCAAACGTTGACTGTAATATGAATATATGTATTGTGACCGAAAGTTGAGTTGGTATTCCGCTAGTCTTAGTCTTCCTTTTACGACATATGTGAGATCAAGATTAGATCAGATCGGAGTTTTAAACGGATTTCTAGCACAAGAGTTGACCTTCTGATTATCAATCTGTAGGTACAGTACTCAAGTGATCAACATGTCTGCACAAACGACAGCAGCCAACGTGCAGGACATTATTGAAGCTAGGCTCGAAAAGAGAACCAAAGGAAATTATGTACCCGCTGGGGGTAAGTGCTTAGGAATTGATAGAGATTAAAGCATATTTTATTGTCACAAATTATTGGCGTCGTGGTGGTGTATTTGATTGCCGAGTAAAGCTTTGATTCAGTGCACGTTTTTTTATGTATTAGTGACTTTACATTGATCTGGGTGTTAATGTTAAAAGATCTCTTTTTTCCCTACCCCTGCCAGTCTATGCGCAATTTCCTTTTGAGTAGTTATGAGGTGTTAAGTTTACAAACAAGTTTACATTAGCATATGCGTTTGCATAGCGTTTGTTATGAAAGTATTGAAAGGCCAATATTTTTAAATCAGCAAAAACTCCATATTTTAAAACTTTCGCCGGTTATCATGTGTTAAACAGCTCTGAATTGCCTGACGTTTTGACCAGATTGCACTGGCCGTTTTTTCTAAACTGACAGGCAAGTCAGAATACTTGTTACGTCATCGTGATATACTATTATTCCCCACCATATACAGGTAAGAGGATGATATCGTTCATGGATGACATCAACATGCCAGTTCGGGACGAGTACGGTTCGCAGCCGCCTCTAGAGCTGGTGCGACTGTGGCACGACTACGGCTATTGGTACGACAGAGAAAAACAGTGGCGGAAGAATGTCAGGGTTGGTCACCTTTGGTTACCTTCATCAACAGCCTTTAATAGTCCATTGCTGGACATAAGCCTCTCCTTAGAAAGGAGGTTTTGGCCTACAATACCACGCTGGCCAGACGGGTTGGTATAGGGTTTGTGTCAAGTTTTCTTTCTCTCTGCAGTGTTGTTGTTCTGCGTAGTTTTCTCCCTTAGTCGGCTCATACGACACCCACGGGATGAATAGGGGTTGTGGCACTCTGTATTCTTAATCCGTCACCACACGAATAACCTTATTGGTTACCTTATTATTCCTTAAATATATTTGTGTGTGTACTAAGTAGTGAGAAGCTTGAAGGTCATACAACCATCATAAGCTTTTTGCCATTTCCCCAAATTTAGATTAATTTTTTTAAAGACCTCTCCCGCATTAGTAGTATATCCAGTGTCGCGGGGGGCTTTACAAACATACATGAAACGGATACAAAGATCATCCAGACTCAGAACAACAATTTGTGGATCACACAAAGTGTCGTCCCATGTGGGGATCGGACCCACAACACTCAACGTAGTAGTAAGCGGCGTGGCGACCGCTTAAACCAGTATGCCATCCGTGCAGACGTGTTTAGGTCGATACAATGAGTTTTCTTCTTCCATTCTCCTCTATCACTCGTCAGTTTACTGCTTAGTTCCTTTTGAACCATATCTACTTTTACACAAACCATCCATCTTTTCTTTGGTCGTTCTCTACGAATAATAATTATTCGTAGGTCGTCTCCTGCTTGTTTTGAAGGTCATGCAACCCATCTATTAAATACCATTCCACTATTTATTGGGTTATTAACTAGCTGCTACCTTGCTGGACTTCGTTCGCGTGAAATTTAAAAAGCGCTGCCGATATACATTATAAAACGGAATTAGAAAAATAGATGAAAAATGGAAAAATAGCTATTTCACTGTAAACGAATGTAGTAGAATCAGTAGTGCGCTGAAAAAATTAACCAGCGAATAAACGGAATAGTGTTGATAATTTTTTTGGTATTTAGGTTGTTTACAAGGAATAAAAGGAATACATTACTTAATAGAATTTTCATAATTCAGAAGTTTTATCTTATACATGATCGTTCTCTATCGATAAAGAGACGCGGGAATGTAAACACACACAGAAGCAGACTCAGTCTCACGGACTCATAGACATACAGATTCACAGACAGACAAACAGATATACAGAGTGAAGGTCACGTCCGTAGAACATGGTGCTGTGCGCATGCGCGGGCCCGCCGGGCGGCGCGCGCTCGCACCTGCCGCCGCGCCTGCTGTCCTGCTTCCACGCCTTCTACCTCACCGCGCCCACCACGCAGCAGCTCGTCAAGATCTTCGGCACCATGCTCAGCCAGCACCTCAGCGACTTCGATGAGGAGACCAAATCTGTCGGTATGTTCTATTACATCTGTACCCGATGGGTTTCATTTTAAAATGTATAGTCCGATAACGGTAAACGTGAACTTATTACGCACTATTTTTTTCTGGATCAAAGGCGTTCTTGCCTTTATGTAAACTACAAAATTTCAGGCACAATAAGTTCTTTAGGACGTGAAAGCGTAACAAACACACAAACAACTGCATTTTTAATTTTTATTTTATATTAAATTCTTTTGCCTGCGGCTCCGTCCGCGTGGTGACTCTCCGCATTCTTAATCCATCACCACACGGACATCATCTCATCTTCCTTAATCCTCTAAATGTTTTGATTTAAGGTTCTCCTATCGATTATTGTTGCAGGTAAAACAGTGCTGGTTGCAACAATAGACATGTTTAACAACGTAGTCAGCAAACTTCTACCGACTCCCAGCAAGATGCACTATCTGTTCAATTTGAGAGATATCTCTAAAATATTCCAAGTTAGTGATGCTGGAATCTAAATTGTTTGCAACGTAACTAATAACTGTTATGTAAAAAGAAAAATAGTTGATTCATGAACGTAGATTTATTCAGACCGTAGGAAAATTCATTACAATTCATCATTATTTACGCGATCCAAATCCATGTCCAATAGATTCAAAATACTAGCAGAGTGATATACATACGCCAATATTTTTTCTTTTTTATGCGTTAAGTTTTAAAGATAGTCATATAAAGCTGCTATATTTTAATAGACGTATTTCTTAGCTTTGCGTGCGGATGCCAGGTTCATCGCGTGATAGATGAACCCGGCTTGCTAAAATGAACAAATTCGTAATAAAATTCTTAAGCTCCTAATTGAGTTCTTTTCTATATCTTTAACAGAACAGTAGTAGTCTTAGTTCTAAACACCTAAACCTTCTCCTAAATCACTCTATCTGTAGGTGAAATTCATATCAGAATCCGTTTATTACTTTTGAAGTAACTTATATTACGTAGTGATTTAAATATTAACTTTAGCAGTTGAACTTTATTTTTAGCTTTATAATAGGTCTATATCTATGAAATTGCCGTTTGGTATGCAATAAGTGAAAGTACTTATTTTTTCAAAACTTTTTTATTTCTGTTATTCGAAGTAATCACCCATGCAATCGACGCATCTTTGCCAACGCATTGGCAGTTTATTGATGCCCTTCTTGTAAAAATCAGCTGGACTGGGAGGCAACAAGCTCTTCAAAGGCATTTTGTACTGCCTCTCGGGAATTGAATTTTTTACCCACTAAAAAGTTGTCTAAATTTGGAAAAAAGTAATAGTCGGTAGGTGCAAGGTCTGGTGGTCACATCTGCAACCAGCGTTGGTCAATCGGTCGTCCCCACTGCTCCTTCACGACAACGCGCGACCCCATACTGCGCAACAGACAGTCTCCAAGCTGCAAGAGCTGGGGTTGGAAGCACTCCCTCATTCGCCATACTCACCAGACCTTGCACCTACCGACTATTACTTTTTCCAAAATTTAGACAACTTTTTAGTGGGTAAAAAATTCAATTCCCGAGAGGCAGTACAAAATGCCTTTGAAGAGTTTGTTGCCTCCCGTCCAGCTGATTTTTACAAGAAAGGCGTCAATAAACTGCCAATGCGTTGGCAAAGATCCGTCGATTGCATGGGTGATTACTTCGAATAACAGAAATAAAAAAGTTTGAAAAAATAAGTACTTTCACTTATTGCATACAAAACGGCAATTTCGTAGGTAAAGACCTAATATGTATGTAAGTACTACTAGGTAAATGAGCACAGACCTCTAAAGAAAACCTATTTCATGTATACTAGCCGATTTAACTAGAGAGAGCACATCGCATAACCTTCAGCTTGGAAATATACTGTTGGCAGGGTTTGCTCCGCAGCAATAAGGATTATACAAACACAAGGGCAAGGTTCCTACGCTTGTGGGTCCACGAGTGTTTCCGTGTCTTCTACGATAGGCTCACGGAGGAGAAGTTAGTATATTCTATCGCTTCACGATTCACATCATCACATCAACATCCTTTACTAGTCCACTGCTGGACATAGGCCTCTCTTTGGAAAGGAGGTTTTGGCCTACTATACCACGCTGGCCAGACGGGTTGGTATAGGGTTTGGTATAGGGGTAACTCCCCCGTGGGATTTGGAGGCGGAAGTGCTCGCCGAAGTTTATCGGCGAGTGGCTGACTACCGGGCGGAGAGCGGATTTCGCCCTCCGCCCGAGGATGTGCGCGAGTGGCGCGAAGCCGCTCGCCGAGCCACGATGGCTCGTTGGTCGTTCCGGCCTGGAGACTCCACGCGCTGGCTTCCCCGCCGGGGAGGCTCTCCCCGGTCTCGCCGGGGGGGGCAGGGCGGCAGCACGGGCCCCTTTTCCCTTCCGACTGACGCAGGTGCTTTTTCCCCGGGACGGTTGCTTCGGAAAGTACCTGCCCGGTCGCAGGAGGGGAAATGAGTCCCGCCCCTGCCACCACGGACTGGGGGGGAGTGGGACTCGGGCCCCAAAAACGCTGGCGGTCTGCCCCCCATGGGCGGCGCAGCGCCGGGGGCCCCACTGCATCATCGGAGTGGATCCTCGCTCCGGGCCCTAGTACGCTCCATGGCCGGGGGGCGACATTTTTTTTAAAAAAAGCGTCCCCAACCTTCTGCGAGGTATAAACTCGCGGAAAGGGGCGGCGGAAAGGGGCCCCGGGGGGACGACCTCCCTCGGGCCCGATCCCCCGCCGGCGAACCGGGGGGCGGAGGCCCCCTACCACAGCCTCATGCCGCCCTGATGTGGGCCCCGGGGGGACGGGGTGGGGGTTTTCCCCTCCACCCGCATTATTGGCCACCGCGGGGGGCGGCGTCCGCGTGTGCCGGACGTCCGCCTATAGAGAGGAACAACACTTGAGACGGAGCCCGCACCAGGGAGCGGGCTGGCGCAGGAGGGGTCCGGATGTCTTAAAACAACACTGTTCCCGGATCCCTCCTGTTTACAGGCGAGAAGTGGCACACCGTGTGGGTTTTAGTCGGGTCCGAGTCCGACACACACCACCCCGCCGCAAAACCCCGAGGGGTGACGGTTCCGAGGGGATTTTCCCACACGTTTAAAAAAAAAAAAAAAAAAAAGGGTTTTTTGTCAAGTTTTTTCCCTTTTTCTTGCGTGCGTTGTCCTGCGTAGTTTGTTTCCTTAGTCGACTTTTAAGACACCCACGAGATGAATAGGGGTGGTGACACACCGTATTCTTAATCCGTCACCACACGGACAGATTCTGTAGGAACAAAATCTTCACGATTACGTAGGAACAAATACTTGTTTACAACATTATACCTAAAATGTTTGTCATAAAATTAATAAGGATATTTGAAATATTATTTTTTAATTCAATAGCTTAAATGGAATAAGATGGTGCCAGGAATTAGTTCGTTCAACTGAAAAAGAACTTCAGTTTTATTATTAGTATTATATCTATACATATTAATAAAATTGGAGTGTCTGTTTGTAATATTAAAATAACCGCTTTTTACTAAATGCATATGTATGTTTACACGGTACATATGCCAAAATAACATTTTTTACAATTTTTGTCTGTCTGCCTGTTTGATCCGGGTAATCCCTGAAACGGCTGCATCGATTTCGACGGGACTTTCATTGGCAGATAGCTGATGACATAAGGAGTAACTTAGGCTACTTTTTTTAGACTAGCTTCGCCCCGCGGCGTTGCCCTCGGTTATAACAACAAACGCGGGTAACACGGGTATGTAATAAAAAAAGCTTGACGCATTTCACACACGGCCGTTTGGTTGGTGGCAGAACATTTACTGTGGTAATCAGGCTGCTGAAAAATAAACTTTAATATATCTAAATACATACATTTTATATGTAAGTTACAGCCTGATATAGAACAAATGATGAAATATGTCCTGGGTGAGAATCGAACCTACGACATCTCACGTTCACCTATAACCGCTAGATCAACAGGCCCGTCATATTACTAGTATATATTACTTTATAATATGTATGAATTGGACAAAAAGAATTTAGAAAATTATAATTTAAAGCTAACTGTGCATATTTGTTGTACACCACAGACTACCTATAAATATACTTAATAAATCCGTACAAAGGTAGTCTAGAAGAAATTGCCCTGATCGATAAAACCGATGATCCTTATAAGTAAATGTTTATAACATTTACTGCACTTAAAAATAATGTAAATAATAAAAAATATGAAATCGTGATTTCCAGAAGCGTAAACTGATTGTAGTCCATTCGCGTTATAAAAATAGTGACTAATCGATCAAGACCGCCCCCTAACCAATCCTATCGTTACGTACGAAAGCTTTGAACCTGATTGGTTAAGTGTTGATCGTTGCGTCACTATTTTCTTAACGCGAATGGACTATAGTTGAAAATTGTGTACGGTGATAAACCATTCATGATATGTCAGGGATCGCGACTGGTTCATGAACCACGTGGGCGACATGCTGGGCAAGCACTTCGAGCTGACCTTCCACGCGCTGTGCCCCTCCAAGAGCGCGCCCATATTTGGACACTTCCTTAACCCATTCGAAGTTTACGATGACCTTAATGACCCGGTGGCACTGCGCAAGTAAGTACACGTTAAGTATTTAAAAATCTATCATCTATTGCATTTAAGTGTCAGAGCAATCTCACAGGGTCATCTATCCAGAATTTGGGAGCTCCATAATTTATTGAAAATTACAACAATGTCATCAATAAAGCTTGCCGTGACAGAAAGAAAACATTTTATTGTAATTAATTCCTTCAATTTACTCTGCTCACTTCTTTTAATCTAAATACATAAATGTCAAAGACATAAGTAATAGAAGAAGTATTTTTTGTCTATTTACTAAATTTCAAATGTTTATAATATCACACTCGAAGAGTGACAAACGCCTAACTCAAATTACAATTTGTGTTAAATGAACAAGAACATTTACCAAAAAGGTAAGTAAATAGCGCGATCAGTGAAAGCGATTTCCTTGAGAGTTAACCTGGGTTGGGTGGGTTCTGAACATTTTAACAAGATAAATCCATTTTGTTTTAATTTAACCGACTGGAAAAAATACTAACAAAGAGCGCTAAAAACCTAGCAGCAATCGCGGTTCATTTGCTATCACTTTTTGAAGTTCCTTTGTCTGTCTCCGAAACTCATCATCAGATCCATATGAAATTTAAATGCGACCATTTCGAAATAAATAGTTTCGTTTGAGGGGTTTATAGAGGGCTATAACAAATAATATTCGGCAGACGTATACATACATGCATTTTCTTATATCTGTAGATACATCCTACATCAGTTGGAAGAATACAACAGTTCCCCGGGCGTAGTGAAAATGGACTTGGTACTGTTCAAGGATGCGATAGACCACATCTGCCGTATCGTGCGAGTCATCTCGCAGCAACGCGGCCATATGCTGTGTGTGGGCATCGGTGAGTGGAGACTGTTATAACCATTGTTCAACATTTAACATAACAGAAGAATTCTTAATTGAAATTTATGTGTACTATTCTACCTAGATACGGCACAAAAGTAGAAATAAAAATTAAGGTAAATTTTGGTACTTACAAGTTTTCGCGAAAATCGAAATTTGCCCATATCTTTTCACCGTGTTGACTCAGATCCTTGATTTGTATACACCTTATAGGGACCATAGACCTCAGTATCTGGTATAAATTTGCTAGGTTTACCCGTTCCTGAGAAAATCGGTGGTGACACACGGACAAACGGACAGACGGACAAGAAAGTGATCTTATAAGGGTTCTATTTTTACCTAAGGAGGTACGGAACCCTAAAAAGAAGAAGAAAGAATGAAAATGTATTTGTTTTGTACTCCTCTAACCTTCAAAAGTAAACATACTTTAATATTTATATACATATATTAGACAAAGTTAAAATTACATTATGATATAACTAAATTATTTAAGTTCAAAGGAGACAAAAACTATTCTTAGCTTATCATTGAGCTGCTTGGAAAGTAATGATGAATGAAAGTGGAAATTGGGGTAAGCACATTAACAAAGCTATTGAAAAATGTTCCAAATATTTAAATATTTTAAAAGTACTAGCTGGTAGCGCATGGGGGGTGCACACAAAACATTTGCGTAGGTTATATATTAATTTGATAAGAAGTCGAATAGATTACGGATCATTCATCTTTGATTGTTGTGCAAAAACACATTTATTAAAACTGGACAGATTGCAAAACCAGGCCTTAAGAATTATAGGGGGTTTTATTAAAAGTTCACCGATCCATGTTATGGAAAGTGAGTTAAATTTAATGCCATTGTTTCTGAGAAGGCAATTCTTGGCTTATAAATATAGTCTGAAAGCGGCTTCTTGGGATAGTAATCAAATCGTTGACCTAATATCAAATTTAAACGTCCTGTCTACTGATAGATATTGGGCGAATAAGAGAAAACCGCTGCTTATTAAGACTTTTAGTGATGTGAGCCAATGCAATATTAATTCATTCCATCTTCATGGTATGTTTTCCTTGGATGTTTGGGTAACAGATATAGAAACTAAAAACTATTTTAAAGTAAACCTGGAATGTATAAAATCCTCACAAACAAATTATGAGCCTAATTTATTGTTGAATAACATAGTGTCAGAATTAAACAGTACATACAGCGAGTGGCATAAGATATTTACGGATGGGTCTAAAAGTGAATGTGGTTCGGGAGCTGGTTTTTATGATAAAAATTTGGAATATGCGGCTGGTTTTAAAGTTAACTATGAGGCATGCATAATGTCGCTGGAGCTGATTGCAATATTTCAGGCATTATCTTATGTAAAAAACCTAAATCTAAATTTAAACAAAATTGTAATTTTTTCGGACAGTAAGAGTGCGCTGCAGCATATGGCTCGATGCGCTTCTGGCTTCAGAGGTGCTTCGATAGCCTATGAAATCTTAAAAACTATTATTTCCTTAAATAAAAGTGAAAAAGATGTAAGGTTGCAATGGGTTCCAGCACATATTGGTCTTAAGGGAAACGAACAGGCAGACCGAATAGCTAAACTGGCAGCTGTAAATGGAAGCGCTCTAAATTATCTACCTGATGACTGGGAATTAGTGTCTAAATTTAAAAAATGCTGCTATGATGACTGGGTTATTTATTTTAACGATAGATCTAAGGAAAAAGGTATCTGGTACAAAACCATTCAGGCAATGCCTCCTCAGGTCGCATGGTTTGATGACGCTCGATTAAGCAGACACTATGTGAAACTAGCTCTTAGAATTAGATCTGGTCACTATCCATCAGCAAAATTTGCACATTTAATGAAAAAAACTGACTCACCTAATTGTCCTGTTTGTAATAAAATAGAAGATGTGCAGCACTTGCTGATGGATTGTGACAGGAATAAAAATGAACGCGAGGCTTTGCTCAAAGAACTAAATATAAATTTATTAGATGTGGGTTTAATACAAAGCATAATGAGTTATCCAAGGTCAGAAGCAGCTAAAAAATTGTGTCACCTGATTACAGTAGTTCAGCAATGATTTAATATACCAGACTGTTTTAACAAAAATTATTTGTGTTTACCATGTATCAAGGTACAATGGGGTTGGCATATCCTTACTGGATCAAAACCCCAAATCAAATAAAGATTAAAAAAAAAAAAAAAAAAAAAAAAAAAAAGTGGAAATGAACGTGGTCATCGCACAATTATTTTTGTTGGGTAGAGTTCGACCGTCAATGCATAGCAAATGACAAGCCACTAAACCAACAGGCCCACCAGCTTTTTAGTATGTTACGTGTTCATGCTTTAACTACTGCAACCGTCATGAAATTTTCATGAATGTACATCACATCATCATCATCAATAGCCTTAAATAGATCACTGCTGGGCATAGGTCTCTCCTTAGAAAGGAGGCTACCACGCTGTCCAGACGGGTCGGTATTGGGTTTGTGGCATGTTTTCCTTCTCAGTCTTCAGTGCTGTTGTCCTAGGTAGTTTGCTCCCTTAGGCAGCTCTTACGACACCCACGGGATGAATAGGGGTGGTGACACTCTGTATTCTTAATCCGTCACCATACGGATCATATAGGATAGAGCACATATGAATGTACATCATACAGAAAAAGACATAGGTAAATTTTATTCAGAAAAGAAATACTATAAAGTTTAGTTTTTAGAATCTTTATTTACCTTTATTCCCATTTCTAGTCTCATTTCTCATTTTATTATGATTTCATTCTTTATTTTCATAAGAACAGTTACAGTTCACTCACTATGAAACAACATTTGAATATACTAAATATAAATCATGGCTACATTTTACAAACAAATAATAATAGTGAATATTTGTGTTAAACATAACTCAAAGATTTACATGCAATAGAAATGCCAAATGCTTCCCGGGGGATACCGCAATAGATTGAAAAGATTTATATTAATGCAATGGAAATAAATAAAATTATTTCTAGAATAGTTACTAGTGATACAAAAGGTAAATTTCAAAGTGTTAATACGTGTGTACAGGTGGGTCGGGCCGTCAGAGTCTGACCCGTGTGGCGACTTACATTTGCGAGTACTACGCCTTCCAAGTTGTCGTCACCAAAACGTATGGAGTCAAAGACTTCAGAGAAGATTTAAAGGTTTCATTGATTAATAATACTTTAATAATCTGGGGAATAGAAAAAGCGCTAGCTTGAATTAAACTTAGCATTGTTCTTTACTAGTTTCAGAAAACAGGGTACTAATGTTTGTTAATATTGTTTAAAAACAAATGTTTTTGGACTAAAACTTGGATACATTGCATCCCTGATTTCTTTTCCTACGGGTAATTATCGCACAACTCGCTGTAAGTTTTGTTATTTTTTCACCGAACTCATTCTCAAATTATTTGCACGTGTTTTCATTATAATAATAATTAAAATAATGCAAAATATTGTACCATATTCACACAACGCCAACTAGTCCCAAATTAAGCAGAGCTTGTACCATGGGGAACCCGCGGCCTTTGGGAGAGCAGTCCGTTACACAAACCACTACGCCATTTGGTCATCAAATAATAAAAAAAATGGGTTGAATTTCGTGTTTACAATTTAATTTATTGTTTAGCTGCTATACACCAATTGCGGCGTAGACCAGAAGACCACCACGTTTATATTCTGCGATACGCAAATTACTGAGGAAACGTTCACCGAGATCATCAACAACTTACTCAGCAGCGGAGAAGTCACCAATCTGTACAAGGCTGATGAGTTTGAAGATGTTAGTGGTTTATGTAGTAACTACCTGAAGTAGAGTAGGTGACTGTCTAGTTAAATATATTTACAGATAAGTCGCTTAATTGAGTCCGACTGTGAATTCATCATCATGATCAACAGCCTTAAATAGTCCACTGCTGGACATAGGCCTCTCTTTAGAAAGGAGATTTTGGCCTACCATACTACACTGACCAGACGGGTTGGTATACAGTTTGTGTCAAGTTCTCCTTCTCTTTGCTATACTCTAGTACTGCGTAGTTTGCTTAGTGTATATGTTAGTGGATAAAGTGGATAAAACATTTGGAGTTTAGTAAAGACTTTGTTTACAGGTAAAGTCGGCTCTAGAGAAGCCAATGAAGGCCGCAAATATTCTGCAGACCCAAGAACAGGTGTATTTGTTTTTGGTAGACAGAGTCAGAGCCAACCTGCATATAGTGCTCTGCTTTAGCCCTATCGGGGAAATATTTAGGTATGTATAATATGACTGCAAAATTCACTCATAATATTAAATTTGAAAATAATTTAATTATTGAAAAGGTAGGTACCAAGTTATACAAAATATGTTATGTGCGATGGTATCTGTTACAATATCATTAGTAACAAACCAAGATCCAAACCAAGTCTTTCACGTATTAATGTATCAACTATAATTATTCTTCAATTCTGCGTGATGTGATGTCAGCCGTCATTTTTCAGCCTCTTATGTAGGAGTTTGAACGTCAAAAATGACATCAGGTGCAGTTCGTTTTTTGTTACCCTACCTTCTCGCGGCCAAATACCAAATACCAAATATAGTAGGCCAAATCCTCCTTTCTAAGGGGAGGCCTATGTCCAGCAGTGGACTATTAAAGACTGTTGATGATGATGATGATGATGGCCTTCTCGCGACCGCCCCATGTCTAGTCTTGTAAATAATCATCGTCATGGTCAACAGCCTTTAATAGTCCACTGCAGGACATAGGCCTCTTCTTAGTAAGGAAGTTTTGGCATACCATACTACGATGTCGGCTCTTACGACACCCACGGGATTAATAGGGGTGTTAATACTACGTATTCTTTATCCGTCTCCATAAGGATGGAATAATAATAAAAAATAAAAACGTGTGAAACGACCGACAGAAGTGATAACTTAAACTAATCTAAGTTAAACTATTTAAAATTGAAATTGTTTAAATTGAGAAAAGCTTATGTTATTACTTAAATTGTATGTAAAGCGTTTGTCCGAAATACGGCTAGCGCTGTGTGTTAGAGTGAGAGAGGAGGAGCCTGCCTGCCGCGCCATATGCATGAGAGAAAGGGAAGCCAGACAGACTGGCGTCGTAACGCGTTACGTAACGAAGCGGTTTACCCTCCCTTAAGAAGTTATTACTTTAATAACAATTTATTTATCAAACAGTGTTTTTACATGATATGTGGTTTAACAAATAAATATTTGTAATAATGATACTAATCAACGACAGTTGGTGCGGCCCTCTTTTGCTTGCCTATAATCCAAATGGTACTTTGATCAAGGCGTGAACTTCATATAAGATTCACCTCTAAACCTGCATTCTCGTCATCCGCCAGTCGAACTGTAAAAAAAGAGGCAGCCTGGTATTCTGACAACCCTGGGTGGGGTAGAATTAGCAAGGCTGACGAGATAGAAGAGGTAGCACACCTACAATCGCCTACCACCTACAGCCTAAACAGTTTCTGGTAATTTCATAGTGGTGTCCTTTTAACCATGTTTAGCTGATTAATTTAGGCGTCAATGTTACCAGGAATCGTATCCGCCAGTACCCAGCTTTAATTAACGCTACGACAACAAACTGGTTCCTGGAGTGGCCACGAGAAGCGTTGTTAGAAGTCGCTTACAAGTTCTTGGAAGGAGTGGAACTGCTCGCTTCCATCACTGGACCGAGGGTAAAGTTTTATCTAGAACACCAAAGTATGAATTGTGGCAACGAATTTAGTACCCCCATGCTTTAATACTAGAAATATTAAGACTTGTCTTTGGCAATTTGGTTTCTTTGAAATACTGTAAAAATTGTTTTATAAATAGGTAGTTATTTAATTTTATTGTATTCTTTAGGTTCGCAGAAAGGAATCATTGATTGAAAGTCGTGAGGATGGATTGAGAGCTTCGACAGCGTCCATCATGTCTCTTATACACTCCTCAGTAGGGAGGTACTCGGTTAAGATGTACCAGGAGATGCGAAGAACGAACTATGTCACTCCAACTAATTATCTAGAACTGGTGTCTGGCTATAAAGAGTAAGTCCGCAGTGACATATCACTCCTTTCTAGAAGAATCTCATTATATGGTCGGGTGCAAACCTTGGTAGGTAGCTTATTACTTATTGAGATCTTTAAGTAAGGTTACTGCTTGTAAGGTCCTCAAGACAGTGGGAACCTCTAGGAGTCTGATGTATTACTGCGGTAAGGATAGCGGCTTCATCGCACCAAAAATGTGATAACATTTAGTAATATGCAGGGGGAAGCCAAAGGCATATTACTAAATGCTGGTATAGATATAGGGTGTAAAGGTGTAGCGTCGATCAGGGAAAGTACATGGTCCGGGTCCTTAACCAGCTGTCGGGTGGTGTTAGTCAAAACACCACATACTCCTAGCTCCTTTGTCTTCAAGGAGCCGCAGATCCGAAGGGATTTTACCCCCGTCACCAAAAAAAGGGCTGTATTCAAAATCTTGAAAATGTACTCAGCGCTTTTGAGACATAGTATACAATTACTGTTTTGTTTTCATAGGATGCTAAAAAATAAACGATTCGAAGTCGCCTTGCAGGCGAACAAACTGCGCAATGGACTCGGTAAGGTCGAGGAGACCACCAAGTTAGTGGGACAGATGTCGGAAGAACTGGCGATTTCCCAGGTGAGGCAAATTACAATCAATCAATCAATGAATCAATTTTTTTGCGAAAAAGTTTATTTATTTATGTACATTAAGGTGTTACAATATAATAATTAATTATTAGGCACGGCTACATTCTACCTCTAGGAAATTAGATACTTAGGTAGAATTATGGTAATTTTTCGTAGTTTTTTTTATAAGAGAACTGTTGCTGGGCTGAAGCTCGGTAACGCCCACACCTATCCTTCACTTACTTAAGGTAAGGGACGAATACTGGGAGTTAAAGGGAGGCAAAGGTAAGATAACATATGCCCTTTATTGGGTAAACAAATAATGTGCCTTCTACCTCACCTGATAGTAAGACTATATGAAGAAAAATATGATACACATATATCTATACTATACCTTTCTTTAAATTTAGATCTTTTACAGCATATTTTAGGAAGGTTGAAAACGTAATGGTTTCAACAAAGTTAAAAAAATGTTTTTTTTTTTAATTTTTTGTTTGGACCTTTTTTTTTCGGAGAGCACTTTAAGCCGTCGGTCCTAGTTGCCATACGAACATCTGTGGCAGTCGTTGCTCAAAGAACTTCGATATCACCTAGTATTTGGGTTGTGGAGGGCTGATGGCAGTCGCTCCGTGTAAAAAATCGAAGTTCAGCCGTATCGTAGTAGACTTAAAGCCGACCCCAACCGTGTTTGGGAAAAAAGGCTCTGAGAAAAAGAAATTGTTGAAATTTGACAGGATATCCCGATTTTTGTTACTAAATATTATTTTCAAGTTCTATTTGTCCGTTTCTAAACGACGTCTTCAACAACGTCGACGTCTTTAACAACAGTTATTAATCAGAAAATAAAAATAAAACTAAGATATAATGAATTTTTTGATCGCCTTATACATTAGTAGTAAACTAATGTTTAAAACTGTACTCAGGTACAAGTAAACGAGTACACAGAACAGTGTATCGAGTACATGGGCGTGATCAACGTCCAACAACGGAACGCGGACGAACAACAACGCAGCGTCGCCGCGAGGAGCAAGAAGACCATGGAGGAGGAGGTGCAGTGCAAGAAGCTCGCTGACGCCGCCATGAGGGACCTCGCCAGCGCCATGCCCGCGCTCGAGGAGGCCATCAAGGTAATGTTTGTACACCAGGAACGATTTCTAAAACGGTTTCAGGTAAAAAATTATCCCGGGTTATCGGATAGTTTCGGGTATTTGATATAAAAATACAAATAGTAGTACTCAAGGAAATAATTAACCTAATAATGTATACGAGTATGTAACTTTTATGGTAAAATTTAAGTAATAAAGTTCTGATATACATGCCACTTACAAGCCAACACAGCATTCACAGTTTAGACAAAATTAAAACAAAATCAATTGTTATATTATTAAAGGTTTTAACAAACATAACATTTTCTTAATCTCGTGCGTTTAGTGGTTGTATTAACAATCAGTACGTACTTATCAGTTTAAATTTCAAAATTCAGCTTAGATTTCGAGGTCTGACAAATAATTTCAGTATTTTTATACAAAACTGGTTCTCTCTGTCATGATACACGTTAGCATCAGGCACAATCTTTAGGAACGAGTTCAAATCAACATTCCACTTAAGTTTGCGTTTAGGCCAAGGTTAGTTTTGAGATAAGGGTACAGTAAAGAGATTGGAAACAGGATTACGTGGAGATCTTCTGGGTACATTAATGGTTACGTTTGAAGTCAAATATTAACTATCAATTTTATTATGCAACTTTCTGTGGATAAACACTAAATCATTCATCACTCACGACTATTTAACTGTGACCACGGCCAGAACCCGCTGGTCAAAACGTCAGGTAGTCAAAGGCATATAAAACCTAACGATCCTGTAAATTCCCATATGCGAGAATTTAAAAGTTTAGAAAGTTAGCCAGGTAAAAATAATAAAAACACGGAGGTTCCGTATCTATCCGGAATTACTTCAAACTTGTATACCAGGTTCTGTTAAAGGTTTCGGATATTTATTTCTGAAAATGCCTTTCAATTTTGTCCCTAGGCTCTGGACGCGTTGAACAAAAAGGACATCACTGAGGTAAAATCTTACGCCAAACCGCCGCAGAAAGTCGAAATGGTTATGGAAGCCGTACTTATATTGTTGCAGGTATTTTCAAACTATACTGGTTTTTTACTTTAAGGTATCCACTTTTGTATGAGTTTTAAGTAATAATTATAATTAAAGAGAACAATAATAATATCTTGAAATCTTAAACCCGATACCGATGGGACACATTTTTTTATATTTTTTAATGTATTTTTATTTGTACATCAATATATTTAAAAATGTAATTTACATGTATATTCAATGGAATAGAGAAAGCAATAATGAAAATAATATTTTTGGAAATCTAACATATAATGCCATTTAGTTTCAAACTACATAGAGCTTGTACTATGAAAGCTAGATTGAATCGAACCCGAGACTTCAGCACAGCAGTCACATACGTTACCAAAGTTATCAAATTTTAAGTTTTGATGGTAGGCGGCTACCGCTGCCCATGGACTCCTGCAACTCAAGAATCACAATTGTATTCTTCCTCAGAATCAGAGGGAGAGGTGGTGCACCAGGGACTTCCTTTCTAGGGTATACCTGGTTCCCCGGCCATTAGTACCCGAGACGGCGTGCGGTTTTAGTCTGTTCGAGTCCGACATGCCACCGATAGGTGGTATCCGAGGGGATTTCCGCACGGAAAAAAAAGGGGGAGAGGTGGTTTGACCTCCTGTAACCTCACTGTCTCGGTGAAAAGAAACAATTGCTAAATTGCAACAGCTGTTTTCGGTGAGGTTGTGGTATCACGCAGGTCGAGGCGGTCCATTTGAGCCGAAGCATGGCTACTACAACATTACTTACATAATTTCAACCAACCAACTGGTTTGGTTTCAAAGTGAGAAGTGCTCCCAGAAATTGTTCGGACTAATACCGGCCGCAACTTTCCGCCATCGTTCCACACGGCAAAATTTTCATCCTCATTACCTGGATAGTTGTCGCCCCACTACTGTGCGCTTTTCGAGACACTTTTTGCCCCGCACAACCAATCTGTGGAACAAGTTATCTTCTGCGGTATTTCCGGACCGTTACGACCTTCAAACCTTTAAGAAAAGGGCGTACTCCTTCCTCAAAGGCCGGCAACGCGTTTGTGACTCCTGAGTTGCAGACGTTCATGGGCGGCGATAGTTAATTTCCATCAGGTGACCCGTCTGCCTCCTCTAACATAATAAATACCTGATCTTTAAAATGGTGTATTCTTGATACAAGGCACACAATTTTTTTCAACAGTTTATTATTTATCTAAATTAATAATCCAAAATGTTTATTTGTAAGAAAACCAATGATAATTATATTACTTGGACATTATCAATCCCACCAAAATCCTTTTTATGGAAAATATTGCCAACATGAAACCATGTCTATGGCTTGCACTCTCCAAAAGTTGTCAGATCTAATGTAGAGCCTAGCTTCTAACATCATGCCGTAACTATAGAAGCTCTAACTTCACAAACTCTACACTTTAGTCGAAATATGTGGCTCTGGCGTTGGCGGGCACTACTGTGCCCTCAAATTATTACTATCATATCATTTTAGATTGATTACAAAATATTAATAAAATTATATGAAAAAAACTAATGAGGACCCAATTTTTATAAAAAACCTAGCTGACCCGGCAAACGTTGTTACAGCGAAAAAATATTTAGGGGTGGGTCACCCTAATCTTTTAGGGGTATGAAAAATAGATGTTGGCCGATTCTCAGACCTACCCGATGTGCACATAAAATTTCATAAAAATCGGAGTATGGTAACTAACATTGTGACACGAGAATTTTATATATAATAATTAATTAAATTAAAAATTTCATAATATGTTCCACACTAAACCAGTAATGATTACTCAGAAAGAGCCAACTTGGGCTGAGGCGAAGCGCCAGCTTGGCGACCAGTACTTCTTAGACCGGCTGCGGGAGTTCGACAAGGACAACATATCGGACAAGACGCTGAAGAAGATTGGCACATACACGGTGAAGCCAGACTTCGAGCCGGACATCGTGGGTACGGTCTCCGCCGCCTGCAAGTCGCTGTGTCTGTGGGTCCGGGCCATCGAGAAATATGGCAAGGTTTACAAGTGAGCTTCTTTATCCTAGTATATTAAAAATTTGATCTAGATGTAAAATTATTATAAAATGATGTAGGCACTTATGGATACAATTCATTTGGTTGATCAATACTCTCAAAGAAAAGAACAGCAAGCCATTGTCACCGGTACCTCATTGAACCTTGCTGTTCTCCTTTCTAAGGAGAGGCCTATGTCCAGCAGTGGACTATTAAAGGCTGTTGATGATGATCAATACTCTCAGATTATGAATTCTGCCAACTTTTGAAAGGACAAAATACTAGATAGACGAATTCATGGGTAGTTATGGTGTGAATAGTTATTTATTAAGCGTCATTCGGTAATAGGATTGTAAAACCAAAGAAGGAGCGTCTAGAAGAAGCGTTGGAGTCCCTGCGCATGAAGCAACAGATCTTGGCTGAGGCGAGAGCTAAGCTGAAGGAGTTGAGTGAGATGATCGCGCGGCTACAGAAGGAGTACGACGAGAAGGTCGCACAAAAAGAAGAGTTGGAGCGCAAAGCTAGACTCCTGCAATTGAAACTGGAGAGAGCTGAGGCACTCATCACTGGACTTTCAGGTAAGTATCACCAAATTGATTGTTCTTTAAAAAGGAAAATATTGATTCAAAGACGATTTTAAACAATTTTTTAAATGAAATAAAGATATTTTAAGTTTGAGTTAAAATAAGAGACAAAACCCAATATTCAATATACGAGTATGTTTTCAAAATGCGTGTAACGTTGACTTGTTTGGCTCTGACGTGACTACAGTATTAATTCTTTGACTTCCTTTGTCAACTCCCGCACTAGGATCTCTCTCTCGCACACGGGGTCTATTTATATTGTGTCGCGGGGGTTTCGACAAATTGCCCGGGATCGAACCTACCTAACCGAACAATCAGTGCAGAAGGCAAGCGCGAGGTGACTGCCTAAACCACCATCAACCAACAACCAAAAACATCTCTGCAGTATTTTTTTGTTTTTTTTACCACATTCACACAACGCCATCTAGTCCCAAACTAAGCAGAGCTTGTACTATGGGTACTAGACAACTGATATAAATACATATTTTTTTTGTAAATACGTACATATTATACATAGAAACAACCAGACCAAATCAAACATTAAATGTTCATGCACACAAATGTTTGACTTGAGCGGGAATCGAACCCGCGACCTTTGGAATAGCAGTCCGTTACACAAACCACTACACCAGCCGGTCGTCAAAACGAAAATTATACCCACATTAATACAAACAAAGTACAAACAGGCCAGGATGATGATTAAATCAATAAGTTAAATAATTCAGGGGAAAAGGAGCGATGGGAGGCGACAGTGGAGCGCTTGGACAAGGAGTTCGACAACCTGCCCGGCGACTGCCTCATCGCCACCGGCTTCGTGGCCTACCTCGGGCCCTTCATGTCCGAGTACAGGGAGCTGCTCATGGACGATTGGTTCAACGAGGTACCAGTGACCTTGGCTTGCTGTTCTTTTTGAAATTTATTGAAATTCTGGATTAATTATTAAAATAATCACATCAACAGCTTTTCCTAGTCAACTACTGGACATAGGCCTCCCCATAGAGAGGAGGTTTTGTCCTAAATCTATACACATAAATAAAATTGGAGTGTCTGTTTGTAATATTAAAATAATTGCTTTTTACTAAATGCATGTGCATGTTTACACGGTACACATGCCAAAATATCATTTTTTACATTTTTTGTCTGTCTGTCTGTCTGTTTGTTCCGGGTAATCTCTGGAACGGCTGGACCGATTTCGACGGGACTTTCACTGGCAATTAGCTGATGACATAAGGAGTAACTTAGGCTACTGTTTTTAGTAACACCGCGGGTCTCAGCTAGTACAATATAAAATAATTTGTTAAGCAAAGCTTCTTTAACGAGAACTCTAGTTACGCTAAACAAAGTGGCAAAAAATATTAGATAACATTTATTTCTTGTTCTCTGAATAAGTTTACAAAAGTAACCATGTTTATTACATGCTATAGTAATTAAGAACTACACTGTCACATTAGCCTGTAACGATAGTGCTGATAAAAAGTAAATAAATAAAATAAAAATAACTAAAAAATACATGTACGTATGATAAAAAATAGGGCTGGCATCTCCTAAAACTGCCGGACCCCAGGACCGGAAGCGTAAGTTCCTCGGATTTTGGAGCTTGCACCCCGGACATTTCAATACTTTTTTCATTAATTTATATCTTTATTAAAATATATTTTACTCCGTACTTGATAGAAGAAAACTTTAAGAAACCGGACTACAATTTAAACCCGGACGCGCTCCCCGTACGTCTTCCAAACTAGGACAAATCCGGGGAAATCCGGACGGATGGCAGCCCTATTTAAAAACAACACAATTAAAATAAAAATAATCTCACATATGCCATACGAACACAGTCTGATCCAGAGCCAGGCAGAGTATTGTGCTGTGTAACCAGTCTGTTGATGATCGTGCTCATCATACAATGTTTGTCCTCGATGGGAATCGAACCCAAAACCTCCAGTAAAGTAGTCAGCAGGCCCGTCAAATAAAAAGTTGAAAGAAAAAACAAAATGGTTTAAAAAGTGTAATATTTGTGAAATGTATTCTCTTTAAAAAGACAACTCCCGCATTAGGACATACAAGAAACGGACACAAAGAGCACCCAGACTCGGAACACAAAGTGTCGTCCCATGTGGGGCTTGAACCCACAGCACTCGGCGTAGTAGAAAGCGGCGTGGCGACCGCTTAAACCACCACACCATCCGTGCAGTCTTAATCTATGTAAAAATTAATAGGATATCGTTTTTAATGTAATGTTTATTGTTGGTTAGGTGTTCAACGAATCAGTACCTGTGACCATGGGCTTGAGTATGAAGACCTTCTTACTGGACGATGCTGTACTAAGAGAATGGAACTACATGGGACTTCCAGGTCGATATCTAAAAATTACCACATCTTACAAATGGAACTGCCATATCTACTTTTACATATATATATATATATAAAATCCTCGTGTCACGGTGTTGATATCGGGTAGGTCTGAGAATCGGCCAACATCTATTTTTTTAAATAATGTATATGGCAAAACAACGTTTGCCGGGTCAGCTAGTATATATATATATATAAACTAGGATAGGAAGATCTACAATAATAATAATATTTCCTGAGGTCTGACACACAACGCCATCTAGTTTCAACGTAATTAGAGCTTGCACTATCAAAACTAGATTGACTGATAGAATACTTATATACTTTTTTTTATAAATACATGCATATTATACTTAGAAAACACCCAAACTCCGAAACAAATATGTGCAGATAATACAAACAGTTGTTTCTGACCCGGGAATCGAACCCGAGACCTAAGCACAGCAGTCGCATACGCTTCCACTACACCACCGAGGCAGTCAAAAGCCAGGCAGTCTATTGGCCTAACAATTCTAATAATACTATCCTAAGAGTCTGCAAAGACACCAAGATTGTACGATATCGCGTAATGGTGAACATTTACATACGTTCTCATGGATTTTGTTACCTTGTACAGATGACAACTTCAGCGCTGAAAACGGTATCATTGTTGTTCGAGCCACGCGCTGGCCATTGGCTGTGGACCCGCAGGGACAAGCGCTCATCTGGATCTCACACCTCGAGGAGAAGAACAACATACAGGTATCACACCAACATCACACACATTACGTTAATATACTACATTGATGGCTGTGGAGTCCTGGGACTAGAGCTCATTTGGATCGAGAGAAGAGCTGCAATATAGAGATGCCACACTTCCGATGGCTGTGGACCTGCCGGAGCAAGTACTTGTATGAATCTCACGTTTTCAACGCTGCAACATGCAGGTACATCAGCTGCACTACACTACACAACACAACACTATACTACACTATACTTCACTACACTATACTACACTATACTTCACTACACTACACTACACAACACTACACTACACTACACTGCACTACACTACACTATACTATACTATACTACACTACACTATACTACACAACACTATACTACACTATACTACACTACACTACACTACACTACACTACACTACACTACACTACACTACACTACGCTGCACAACACTACATCACAATACATCGATGACTGTGGACACCTATTGACAAGTCCTCAGCTAATATAACATTTCAATTTTTTGGACTATTTGGACTTTTCACATTTCATTTATAATGGAGAGTTTAATAGATCAATTGTTATTAATTTACGGTATTAATGGCGATAGTCAATGGTTAATCACATTTATTACGTTAAATACACACATAAGTATAGACTTTTATTAACATTGTAGGTCTAGACAGGGCCGTATTAACCTCTCATAAGCCGCGAAAAGACGCGAAATATCGCCACACTGTAAGTGCCTTCACGGGTGAGCGCTGATCAGTGGCACGTGAGGAGTTAAACGACTAATTTTAGTCGTACTTACGTAAGAGGTGGCGGCTTGCCCTCGATGGCCCTTAAATATTTGAACACATTGTTTGAAATCATCTAAAACAATATATAGCTCAAACACAAACAATGGTACTAATTTTGTTGTTCGAAAACTCTCTAAACTAATCTAAAAATCACTAAAAATTTGTTTAGTGCTGTCAAACAACGTTTCCTATTCTTGACGTATTCTTGACGAAAACGTAGTACTTGACAGGATTAAACTAATTTTTAGTTTAGTTTAGATAGTTTTCGAACAACAGAATTAGCACCAATGTTAGCGAAACAATACGTGGTTTTGTCAAAACTACAGATATTAAAAGAATAGATAACATTAATAAAAAAAAACACAAATGTAGTATTAAATAACTCAAAAAAGCTGCATTTTTTTATGTATATCATTTTTTTTTCACAAGATTGTAGACTTTGGGCAACCCAACTACCTGAAGATCATGGAAGGCGCGCTTTCGTCAGGCTCACCCATCTTGGTCCAAAACGTGGGAGAGGTTCTAGATCCGTCGATCGCTCCCATTCTGGACAAAGCCATCGTCACCATTGGGTCTGCGCAAGTCATCAAGTTCAATGATAAAATGGTCACCTACAACAAAAATTTCAGAATGTACCTCACTACCAAACTTGGTGAGTTTATTTATTATTGTTTTGTTACATTTTTAAGATGGAAAGTAATCTCGTATTATTTTCCAAGGTATAATTATATTGTGGTTACTCAACCTCCTGAATGTATTTAGAAATATATATATGTTTATCAGTCGTTTGGTTACCATACTATATGCTTAGTCTACTTGGGATAAGACGGCTATTTGTAAACTGTGTTATGCAGTGCATTTCTGGTACTTCGCCATTCCACACTTATGATGTCAATAACTGTAGGGCTCAACAAGGGAACAGGAATAGGCGTGCTGTTGGTAAAGTTCTTAAAAAGCGATGACCACCAACCATTACTGGTTCAAGTGGTCGCCACGCCACTTAGTACTACGCTGAGTGTTGTGGGTCCGATCCCCACATGGGACGATACTTTGTGTGATTCACAAATTATTGTTTTGAATCAGGGTGTTCTTTGTGTCAATTGCATGTATGTTTGTAAAGTCCATCGCGACACAGGATATATTCCTAATGCGGGAGTTGTCTTTAAAAAAAAGATCTTGTGACATTGAAATTCATGAGTTCTTAGAAGCTGTAGCCATCTAGGAGGTAAAAGCGCAATCGAAAGATGGCTTCATCATTAATAAGTTGTTTAATCACTTTTAATTCACAATTTAAAAAAAACGAGTGTATTTCTTGAAACGCGTTTTTTTTATTATGAAGCTAGTAAATAGTAATTATTAATTTGAATTACCTAACGTTGCACTGACCTTGGTCACTGTTCAAAGGTCTGCAATACCCATTAATTCAGTTTTTATTTTACAGATTTTATTACTTTTGTGGAGAACTATTGCCCACAAGAATGTATAATCATAATTACATAGGTGTGATGTAGTTTGCTTATGTGGTCAGGTAACCCGGTGTACACTCCAGAAACTTTGACCAAGACGACCATGGTGAACTTTGCTGTGAAGGAGCAGGGGCTCACGGCGCAACTGCTGGGCATCGTGGTTCGCAAGGAGCGGCCCCAACTAGAACAGATGAAAGACAACCTTGTCATGACAATTGCCAACAACAAGAAAGTGCTTGTAAGTGTTCTATAGAAAATTAAGAGAAAATGGTTCCACTGATTGATCTGATGGTTTAGTGGTTGCCCTGACTGCTAACCCAGCAATTATGTGATTAGCACGATCATTTGTTCTGTGCCTTAGTGTAATTTATCGATAATATTAGGTCTTTACCTATGAAGTTGGATTGTAATGAAAATTTTGAAATATAAAATTTTTGGTTATTAGTTTATTTTAGCTAATCAAAGTTATTTATACAATTTTACCATTTTGATGGCACTTTGTTTATCCTTTTACTGTTTTTGAAGTCTGCTGGACGGGAGGCTATGAAGTCAAAGTCGAAAGCGTTTTGTACTGCCTCTCGGGTGTTGAATTTCTTGAAAAAAATTGACTAAGTTTTATAATAAAGTAGAGATCTATTGGGTCCACCAGACAGTCACCATCATCTTCCTATGGGTAATCTTTTTTGGCGCACTGATTAGGTGCTGTACCCGGGTCCACCCACTGAGACGCTTACGGTTTTCGTACAGGATCCACTTTTCATCGCAAGGTAAGAATTCGATGCAGGATTCCCTCAATTCCAAAAAACAAAACACTATCTGAATGTTAAATGAAAATAACATGGCTTTCGAATAAATTTTATTTGAATTTCGAGGCTTCAATCCACAGATAATCAACTTTATAGGTAAAGACAGATAGTTGTATTTATGAATATATAAGTTTATTTCTCAGCAGTCTGGTAACCATAATACAGGTTCTGCCTAGCTCAGGATCAGACAGTCGTGTGTGAGATGTGAGAGGTTATTATTATTAACCAGCTGACCCGACAAATATTGTTCTGCCATATAAATTATCAAAAAAAAAGGTGCGGGTACCACTAAACCCCGCGGCGGCCTACCTCGGCAGTCAGGAGGAGCTCCAGGAACGCATCGGCGAGTTCTTCATGGGGTAGTCCTCCCTGCCGTACCCCATGTCTGAGGCACATCTCGGAGTGACCGTAGTAACCCCGGTGGCAGGACGCAGATTATAATGGAACCCATGTCCTACAGTTGGATTTAGAGAACGACCTGCTACGCATAATGTACGAGTCTCAAGTGCCGCTGCTGGAGAATGAAGAGCTGTTCACCACTCTGCAGACCTCGCAGCGGACCTCTCTGGAAGTGAAAGAGGCACTCATCACTTCACAGGTCACGGAGAAGGAAATCGACGTCGCCAGACAGGTAATATTTTTTTTCGTTTTGTTTTTTTTTTTTTTTATTAGAACCGATGATCTGATGAAGATGGTGGGAAATCGTTGGTTGTGAGCAGAGCAGAGCCAATCGTAGTAGCGAGCTGTGGGGGGGAGGCCTATGTCCAACAGTGGACCTCTATCGGCTGAGATGATAATGATGATAAATCAGAACCGAAACTTCGTGGGTGGTTCCTTCCTCTTATTTTTTTAGTACCCGCGATTTGGTTCACGTGGAATTTGAAAAGCGCTGTTTTAGTGGTGTAGTACGGTACGCGTCTGCAGTTTATCTGAGAGAAAAAATACCCTTATATAGACAGCTACCTGATAGCAAAATATTATCAAAAACGGTCCAGCTGTTTTGAAAATTAGCCCGAACAAAGAGACAGAACGAAAAAATATTTAAATTTATTTTTAGGCATAGGTATCGTACAAGTAATCGTGTGAGCATGAAAAACTACCTATTATTTTAACATTAAAAACGGACACGTGTTTTATTTATTTGTATAGATATATCTGACCCGTCAGTATTAAGTCGTCACTCTCTCCAGAGTAACGTAATGTTTGACGTTCCAGTCCTTGAAAAAGGACCTCTACACCGAGGCCCAATCCACCTCCCCCAAAGTATACTGGTATATTAGTGTCGTGTGGCTGTGCCAGGGCTACGTGCCGGTGGCGGTGCGCGCGTCGGTTCTGTTCTTCGCGCTCAACGACCTGTCGCGCATCGACCCCATGTACCAGTTCTCGCTCGACGCCTACATCGACCTATTCACCTACTCCATCGACCGCAGCCCCAAGTCGCAGGAGCTCGAGGACAGGATCAACAACCTCAACGAGTTCCACACCTACGCTGTCTACAAGTTAGTCCTTCACCGCTTACTAGCTTTTACCCTCGACAATAAATATTTCGTGTTACGATCTATCACTGTTACAAAATTCACCTAAATTCGTTCAGCCGTTCTATCGTAATTGAGAAACAAACATCTCAATTATTCTAAAGTCAAGAGGAGTCCCCACAAGAGTAACAAATGTGCAGGAACACGTGCCGGGCGCTGTTCGAGCGCCACAAGCTGCTGCTGTCCTTCCACATGGTGTCGCGCATCCTGTTCCAGTGCGACAAGCTCAACCGCAACGAGTACCTGTTCCTGCTGCGGGGGGGAATCGTGCTCGACAGGTCCGAGCAGCCCGACAACCCTACCAGTGAGCCGAACTATAACTATGTGTAGCCTAGGACCGACAGATATGATCACCTAGCCTGTTCGGAGGATCTTCTCTTTGTGTTCAAGGGATATGATACCCATTCCTTTACAGTAGCCCTCCTGGCCGCGGGGCCTGCGGTAGTACCGGCCCGTCTTGGCTTGCTAACCGGCCCGTTCAGGAGAGTCACTTCAGAAGTTGCAACGTTTGGTGCAACACAAGATTACTCGCAATATTACTATTATCTCTTCACTTTACTAATAATATAAGAGAAAGCATATAATAAAAATCTCTATTTATTGTTTTCTTAGTCTGGGTGTTCTTTGTGTTCGTGTATATTTGTAAAGGCCCTCACGCACACGATATATTCCTAGCGCGGGACAATGGAAATAGGAATAAATTTTAACTTGACTAAATAAATATATATTAGTAACTTGGTGATTGTTTTATCATCATTGACGCGCAATAGCCATTTGAATATTAAACCATTGAATCGTTAAATCTCAGATTGGCTACCAGACGAATGTTGGGACAACATCACCGAACTTGATAAACTGCCTGGATTCCACGGGGTGAATGATTCCTTCGAGATTTTCAGCAAGGAATGGAGGGAATGGTATCTTAACCCTGAACCTGAGCAACAACCGCTTATCGGTAAGTGGAACTTTCTGCATTACAATTTTCCTTAATTACCATTATTTTCTTTTATTGGTGGAAATAAAAAATAGTTACAGAAGAAAGAATTATAAGAACATCTGGAGGAGCAAGTCCTTCCATATGCTAAGTCACTTCAGACCCGATTTTAAATAAAAAATAGATTATTGAAATTAGGTATTCAGTAGAATCTCAGTATGAATTTTGGGTCCGTACGATTAGGACAAATTATTTTGGAATTGCAACCAAAAACTGCAAGGAAAATGGTAGTTGGTATCTATCTAATTTTCCCGGGATAGGGTCAGGCCCGACGTCGATTCAGAAATCAAGTGGTCCGGGTCCTGCAGAGTAGGGTGCTTGAGGCTGGCCGTCAGGATGGTTTTTAGTGGGAACACCACATACTCACGGCTCCTGTGTCGCCGGAAATAGCCGGAGATCCGAAGGGATTTTCCAACCCGTCACCAAAAGAAGGCATCTATCGAATGACAGTAATGTTCGTTATCAGGCGATTGGAACGACATCTGCAACGACTTCCAAAAAAACGCTTTTTGTGCGCAGCCTGCGCGGGGAAACGCGCGTGTCGTCGGCGTCACCACCTTCATCACCAACGTGCTGGGCCCGCGCTACCGAGCCGCCCGTGCTCGACATCAAGGTACTGGCTCCTCGTGCGGGTGCTTCGAACGAAAACAAATTGTAAACGACACCACTTAACCTCACCACTGGGGTGTCGTTTACAATTTGTTTTGGTAACGACACCACCGTAAGGCAGTTCTAATAGAAAACGTATGCATTAATCGATATCAATTGTTTTTCATTCGTATGATCACTTTATTAACTTCTGGAAAACTTTTTTCTTAAAATGGCTTTAAAGATATCAGACGAAGTGAATCAAAGATAGGGTTATAAAAAAGGAATAGTTATTGGAAAATATCGGATCAAGATTTTTTAAATGAATCTAGTTTTTTTGTTTCAAAGGATACAATTAATGAGTGTTATGAATTCTTTGTGAACTAGACCAATTTCAACATTATCATTAAAAATTAACACGCAACGAATTGTTTTACTTTACGTTAAACATCACTAGTCAGGAATGGTGTCGTTAACAAAAAAAATTGTAAACGACACCCCAGTGGTGCGGTTCATTGGTGTCGTTTACAATACACGGTGTGCTTCAATAGTTATAACGATTTTAATGGTATAGGGGGCGAACGAGTGATGAGTCACCTGATGGTAAGTAACTTTCACCGCCCATGGACGCTCAGGATCACAAAAGCGTTGCCCCCCCCCCCCTCCCCTACTTTATCAAAAACAGGAACGGCAGCAAACAGCTGCTCTAATAAATGCGTTTTTTTTTATTATTTACGTAATAAGGAAAAACTATATTAATAAATACTGAGCAGACGTTTATTTGCTTAGTTTCAGTAACAGTTGTCCTGTTATTATATCAATAAGTCGATATGCCTATCCTTCGGGAACGATAATATTCTTCGGGGTGAAAGTTATATACAGGGTTACTGGTTAAGTGTACCTAGATACTTTAAGGGGTTGTAGTTGCCATCATTTTTAATGGATACTACTAAGAAATATCATATCCCATTTTTTTTTTTTTTTTAACGTGTGGAAATCCCCTCTGACCGTCACCCCTCCGGGGTTTGCGGCGGGGTGGTGTGTCGGACTCGGACCGACTAAAACCACACGGTGTGCCACTCTGCGCCTGTAACAGGAGGGATCCGGGAACAGCTGTTGTTAAGACATCCGGACCCCTCCTAGCGCCAGCCCGCTCCTGGTGCGGGCTCCGTCTCATTGTTGATGTTCCTCTCTTTAGGCGACGTCCGGCACACGCGGACGCCGCCCCCTCGCGGCTGGCCAAACTAATGCGGGTGGAGGGGAAACCCACCCCGTCCACCCGCGGCCACACTCAGGGCGGCATGAGGCGGAGATAGGCGCGCCTCCGCCGCCCGGTTCGCCGGCGGCGGATCGGGTCCGAGTGGAGGTCGTCCTCCCGGGCCCTCTCCGCCGCCTCCTTCTGCGAGATTACTTCCTCGCAGAAGGTTGCGACCGCGGTAAAACAACTGTCGCTACCGGCCATGGAGCGTACTACGGCCGGTAGCGAGAGATCGACTCCGATGACTGCAGTGAGGGCCCGGCGCTGCGTCGCCCATGCCAAACCTAACCATTCTCAAATTATTGGACTTTTTTTTCACAAATTTCTGAAATTTTGCCTAATACAATTTTACAATACAATACAATAAAACTTATATCCTTAATTTTTATTGTTTTGGTATGGTAATAAAATGAAAATGGTTAGGTTTTAAGATGTAGTATTTCATAGTGAAATGTGTCAGAAATGATGGCACCTACAGCCCCTTAAAGAATCTAGGTCGACCTAACCAGTAACCCTGTATAATGTAAGCGTAAGAACTGAAGAAAGAGAGTGAGGTGTGCATGACCTGCAGGCGTCCTGGGAGGAGTCGTCGTACAAGACATCGCTGCTGTTCGTGCTGTCGCCGGGCGTGGACCCGACGTCGGCGCTGATCCAGCTCGCCGTTGACGTCAAGATGTTCGACAAGTTCGCCTCGCTCAGCCTGGGACAGGGCCAGGCGCCCACCGCCGAACGGTTTGTTCGCTATTCACAATACGCCGACCACCAAGGAATACAGTTTTTTATGAAATTTAGGGAGCAAACGAGCAGACGCTTCACCTAATAGTGACTTCCGCTGTCCATGGACACCTACAACTCAAAAGTCACAAGTGCATTGGCACCCTTCACCCTTCAGTTTTAACTTCGAAAATTCTAGGATAGAATGTATTCCATTTGTTTATTTATACATCTTTATTGTACACCACCACTATATAATATACATATAACAGACATGGATGGACATGTACATTTTGGTATTACAACAGGTCTTATCGCTAACGGCGATCTCTTACAGACAACCTCAGTCAGGGTAGTCTGTCTTTTACGTATGTATTTGCAGCATGTACAATGTGTTTGTACAGGATGCTGTCCCACGGCATGAAGGAAGGTGGATGGGTGTTCCTGGCCAACTGCCACTTGGCGTGTACGTGGCTGGGGGGGCTGCGGGGACTGGACAACCCTAAGATACACCCGCGTTTCCGTCTCTGGCTCTCCTCCATGCCCGACGATAAGTTCCCCTTGGCTGTGCTGCAGAGGAGCATTAAGATGACCACAGAACCTCCGCAGGTAACAGTTTTGAACATTTTCACTTCAATAAAAAAAAAGATTTGGATTGTATCTGCAGTGTACGGTGGCAGTGAGACGTAAAGTACTGGGGATATAAGTATATTTTTTTTATTGATTTCACAGTTAAGTGAGTTACTGGTATAATGGTTTCGGACACACTTTGAATGTGCCCTCTCCATAGACGTTTAGAGGATTGTGTGTCATGTCCTTCGTACACCAAGGGAGGATGCTCCGAACAGCCGAGGTGATTATGCCTGGCGAGCCGCTGCCCAACTATTAATGTTGGGAAGTTCGGCGAGAGAATTGTTCATATTGCAAAATAGGATTAGCGGTTACTCCGTAGGTCGGTGTCTTCCTCTGTAGTATGTTTTTTTTTCGTTCTATGTGGAAGGCGCCACACAAGAAATTGCTTGTTTTTATGTAAAGCCATTTTCATCATCTTTACTTGTGATCTATAGAAATAACTTCGTGAAAAGAGACGGAGAAATGTGAGGTGTAATCATGATGATACTAAATGTGGACATTACAAAACACTGGACTGTCATCATCATCAGCCTATCGCAGTCCACTACTGGACATAGGCCTCTCCCATTGCACGCCAACTAGATCAATTTTGGCTGTATACTGGACTGTATGTGACGGATAATGCCAAAACCGTTTATTTTACACAAGAAGTTTCCAGTCCAACAAATTTATGCTTCGTTTAAACATTTTTTTTTACCAAAACTGAGTTAATACCGTACACTTGCCGACTCTTGCCTGAAAATTTCTAACGTTAGAATTGTGTCTTCTCTGATACGCAGGGCTTGAAAGGCAACATGGTCCGGCTCTTTGCGAATTTAAACGAGGAGAAGTACGACTCAGCCACGCCTATGTACAGGCGACTGCTGTTCTGCGTCTCGTTCTTCCACTGCAGTCTCATCGCGCGGAAGAGGTTCCGACAGCTCGGCTACAATGCTGTCTACAGCTTTAATGACGCTGACTTTGACGTGAGCTAAATACGTATAACTACTGTTTTCTGTCGCAATTTGAGATTAAGAAATCCAAAGATTAAGAATGAAGTTTTCGTAATGGTTATAGGTACTACAAGTTCACCTAGCTATTTTTCTCGCATAGTTTTTGAATTTGTGTTTATTTAATTTGGTTAATATTATGGGGCACAGTTTACCACCAGAATAGAATGATTTTGCTCCATTTTCATACACAAAATCCAAACCAACTTTTATTCACAAGTAAAATCCCTATAGTGGGATATCCCGAGAACAGAATAAAACGATAAAATTATGTTTAATAAATATGTTTAAGTTACGTTAGAGTATAAGTACGTGTTCTCTAGCCCAGTCGCGTTATGACAATAGTGACGTATTAAGCCTCGCACCCTGACTAATCAGGTGCCTAGCTTTTATACGAAACGATAGTTTTGATCGATGCGTCACTATTTTCTTAACGTGAATGTACTATTAATTTTGATCGTACGTAATTTTGATCCAGGTGTCAGACAATCTTCTAGCGAACTATCTAGAAGAGTATGACGATGTGCCGTGGGACGCGCTGCGTTACCTCTTCGCCATAATTAACTACGGTGGCCATATCACTGATGACTGGGACAAGAGAGTCTTGATTGCCTACATTAATCAATTTTTCTGCGAAGAAGCACTGGACACTCCGTTTTATAGGTATGTATTTGGCAAATTTGTCTTCGATAGTTCATAAATAGTTTGCCTGATAATGCTGTTACGGTCAAGACATATGGAACAGATATCCTAGATAGAGTTCGAGTATTCCAAAATCTGGACTAACTTTCTGGAATACACTAAAATTATATACTAATATAAATACTTTAGAAATTTTCAGGCGGGTATCGCGTCAGTGGTGTTAATATGAGATTTCTCGGAAAAGTACCTGAAACTATTTGAACTTTCTACAGATACAGGGATAAGCCGGAGAATCTTAACAATCTCCACTTTGACTCGTTATAGCTACCACATTTATACTAGAGATACTCACCGTAGTTCAAGGCTGTCAGAAATTTGATGAATAAATTTTTAGAAACTAGAGAAACCCCTTACACACTCTAGTAGCATAATTTTTATAATTCTAATTCTGGCGAATTATTTTCTTCAGCATTGTAATTTAATAGTCTCGATTCACACACCGTTTTGTATCTTTTTTTTTAAATTTGACCTACGACAGACTATCATCAATTCCTGCGTACCATATCCCGCGCGACGGCAGCCTGGAATCGTACCGGGACTTCCTGGACTTGTGGCCGGGGTACGAACGCGCTGAGTCTGTGGGACAACATGCTTCTGCTGATGTCGCTACTCTTGCGCAGGTTTTGCTAATTATTATTTTGAATTTTCATTGAATGAAATTTCAACAAATTTTTAATATTGTGAAATCGTTATGATGCTTTCTTTGGCATATAGTTCGAATGACAATACTACAATTTGGCAAACTGGATTTCATCTGATATTGGAGCTAACAGATGTATTGATGAACTCTTTAAAAGCTTTCGATAAACAAATCAAGTTGAGACATATATCATCAAATTTTGAGGAGTCGCACGTTGGATTTACCAACGTTGGTCCAACGATAGCAGGTTCCATGAGGGATACTAAAACTTTAATAGCTGGCTGACCTGTTGGTCTAGTGGTTAGTGATTCTGACGTCTAAGCAAGAGGTCGTAAGTTCGATACCCACCCAGGAGAAATAATTGTTACGAGCACGATCATTTGTTCTGTGTCTGTGTAAATTACACCCATTACAAGTAATATATAATTATTTTTACCAGAAATCAGATTATCATAGTACAGGCTCTGCCTGTATTATTGTGATGCTTAGTAGTAAATAAAATAATTTTAAAATATGACTGACGTAGGGGTTTAAGCGGTCGCCACGCCGCTTACTACTACGCTGAGTGTTGTGGGTCCGATCCCCACATGGGACGATACTTTGTGTGATCCACAAATTGTTTTCGGAAGCTGGGTGTGCTTTGTGTCCGTTTCATGTATGTTTGTAAAGTCCCCCGCGACACAGGATATGTTCCTTATTAGGGAGTTGTCTTTTAAAAAAGATGGAAGATGAAACGAAATCTTAGTTTGCCTATGTATTTTTATTGCGTTAAGTTCTGATTACTAAATTATCACCCAGGATGCACTGATCATGTGTTCGACCTTATTTGCGCTCGCCTCGACTGGAGGTAGTGGAGGCGGGGGTGGAGATGACCAGAAGGTATTCCGTGTTATCTTTTTACAAGCTTTTTATTAACTTACAATGTTACGTACATGAGTTGTTCGGCTAGAATCTTGCAGCTCAATTTTGAAGCAGATATCTTAAACCGATTGAGCTGAAATTTTGAAAGTCGGCAGGTCCTTTTTGCTATTTTTAAAATTTGAATTTTGATTTGATTCAAACACTAGGAATAATCCTTAATCAAATCAAATCAACTATACTATGTGTGTATGTAATATTATTGTAACACGCTGTATTAAAAATAGGATTTTTTCATGTTTGCCACACATTGCCAAATCCCTTATCAAATTATCTTATAACCAATATCCTTGTGAATTATCGTAGAAGATAACCGGGGTTACTCAATTTGCATCGAGCTAGTGAGGTTACCGGAGCGGTAAGCTCCCTCATAGTAGGGGAGCCCATTGTGCTAAATGTAAATTTACTCAAGCGTCATGGGGACCTATTGCATTTGAAAGATTAGATAATAGAATAAATGAAAAAATTAATAATAGAAAAAAAAAATTAATAATAGAATGAATAAAAGTGTATCCACTTTCAGCGGTGGGAAAGGCTTCTACAGATTTTCAAAAATGTAAGATATTTTGGGGTTATTTGGACGTGTAGTGACGGATTAAGAATACGGACTGTCACTACCCCTATTCATCCTGTGGGTGTCGTAAGAGCCGACTTATGGCGTTAAACAACGCAGGACACCAGCACTGCAAAATGAAGGCAAACTTGACACAAACCCTATACCCGTCTGGCCAGCGTGGTTTAGTAGGCAAAAACCTCCTTTCTAAGGAGTCCTTTCTATGTCCAGCAGTGGACTATTAAAGGCTGTTGATGTGATGACTATTTGGACGCGAAAAATGCTCCCATTGAAAGGTCTGACGAATTAAACATGACACAAGCTCGTAGCGAATTAGCCATTTCGAAATACCTGAGCGTGTTAGATTTTATACAGACGGTTCAGCTTAATGTTCCTTTCATACTCGTGCTAGTCGAAAATCTGACGATCATTTTGCAGGGTATTTTAAATGTGGCGATAAGAAGTATTTTGACTTGGATTTTTATAAAATGTGGCAAATAAAGGCTCGGAAATTTTTATTTATTTATTTATTTATATCTTTATTGTTTACAAATTAGCACATAAGACATTACAAATATATAGACTTAACAATCGGCGGTCTTATCGCTCACGGCGATCTCTTCCAGACAACCTTGATACGGATATTTGTTATTTAAAAGTTGAGTAGTTTACATACACATAACGCATATCACGTGAATATTTAAAATATAAACAAAAGCATCCATACACAATAAACACCTGTTCACACTACACATAGATAAATACATATACATACATACATACATAAACAAAATTTATAAATATACATATACATACATATTCAATAGACATACACACAACATATATATATATACTGTCCGAAATATATACCATATATAAAGAAACCAACAGTATTTATAATGTCAGATAAAAATCCTTCACTAGCTTTGTAAACATTAAAAGAAGATTTCTTGCATTGTTAACTTTAAAATAAAAAAATGTCAGTCATGGTTTTTTTTGGAACTTTGTGATCTTCCCACTGCTTTATGTCACGCACAAATAGATTTTTGAAAACACACTAATGTGTATGTGATTGACTCACATCACACATCACATCACACATCATCACATCAACAGCCTATACTAGTCCACTGCTGGACATAGGCCTCTCCTTAGAAAGAAGGTTTTGGCCTACTATACCAACCTGGCCAGACGAGTTGGTATAGGGTTTGTGTCAAGTTTTCCTTCTCTCCGCAGTGTTGTTGTTCCGCGTAGTTTTTTTCCTTAGTCAGCTCTTACGACACCCACGGGATGACTAGAGGCGGTGACACTTTGTATCCTTAATCCGTCACCACACGGTAATTGACTCAACTTACCTTAATCTTACACGCTCGAGTATTTCTGGCCATTGTTTTTGAACTAATCTGACTGCCCTAGACGCTCCCCCCTGTGTGTAGGGCTCATGTATGGTGGAGGTACTCAACTTCGTGTAAGGTATACCTCCTATGTTATACCTCCTATGTTAATCTGACACGCTCGGGTAAATCCCGAAATCTCTTGTAGGCAGTAGTCACTTGCCATCAGGTGTACATAAAAAATGCTAAGGAATGTGTGAATATAACAAGGAATGTGTAAAAGAAAAAGGTCAACAAGAACTAATGAAAAAAAACAGTGGCATTCCGAAAGTGCCGACAAAAGTGAAAACTTGTACACTTATGTATATACAGAGGTGTCAGTAACGGTAACAGTGCTCAAAAAATGCCCAACGCGCCTAAAGAAGTTTTCACTTCAAAAGGACAAGCCTACGGCAAACTAAATAAATATTTGCTCTAATTATCCTCTCAACAATTATATTTGTTTGTAAGGTAAACGACATGGCTGCGGAGATGGCGACGAAGCTCCCGAATAAGATAGACGTGGAGACGACCGAGCGTATGATGGGACCTGAAATCGTGATGCCCATGTGCGTCTCTCTGCTTCAGGAGATTGGCTACTTCAACAGTCTGATCAGCTTTATTACTTTTGGACTTAAAGTAAGTGCTGGTTCAATGGGTTTCTAACTTTTTGACTATAGTCCATTTACCTCGCCTCGTCCTTCTTTGGTGAGTGTCGTGGGTTCGATACCTACATGGGATAACACTTTGTTTGATCAAAAAGTTGTTCTCCTGAGTCTGGGTGTCTTTTGTGTCCGTTTGAAGCAATGTTTGTAAAGTCTCCGCGCTTATATATTCTTAGTTCGGGAATTACCTAATACTTGTTTTTGCCCGCGGTATAAAACTACTTTCGTAAAATAGTATCTAAATTGTTAAATATGACTAAATTACAGAAATTAATAATTATTCAAGTTACTCGTAAAATGTCTTCCAAATAAATGATAAATCTGAATCTGCGAAGCTTTTATAGCTCTAAAATGCTGTACGTGGAAATTACAGTATCTTTTGTTATATCCACATGCTCTGCCACACCCAATTGTTCCTCATATTCAAAATAAATTAGCAATTAATTAATTAATGAGTGTTTCAGGAGCAGGATCTGTTGTAGTTTTCCTTGGAATAATTTCAAAATTGGATCATTTTTGAATCATCTATTTATGGACTATTGTCAATACCATTATTAAGCCAATCGCTCTTTAAGGGGAAGTGTGTCGTACGTGTTGATTGATTGTACAGGAACTGCGTCGTGCCATCGAAGGGTTGGTGGTGATGTCCGAGCTACTGGAGATGATGTACACCTGTATCAACCAGGGAGTGGTTCCTAACTTTTGGTTGAAAGGTAACCGTTCCTAATTTTTAAAGGTATTTTTTTGCTTTACTTGTTGTTTTATTATATTATATATTTTAAAAAAAGTTATTCAGTTCCCTGTTCTTCCGATTTAGGCTGTGCTTGTTCCTACGTATAATGCATCGATGTCGGAATAGATTAGATTTGTCGTAGTGTCGGTGAGTGAGTGGGTTGACTCGGGTGGCGTGTGGTCTCAGGGCGGCCGTCGATCAAGCCGCTGGGGTCGTGGTGCCGCGAGCTGTTCCTGCGCGGCGCGCACCTGCAGGGCTGGGCCAACGCGCCGCGCGGGCCGCCCACGCTGTGCTGGCTGCCCGCCTTCGTCGTGCCCACCGGCTTCCTCACCGCCGTCATGCAGGTACACCGAGGATCACTACTTTCCGTTGTTGACTACATTTGAGATTGCCGCAAAGTGTAGCATTAAAAAAAAGTGGCACGGAAGTGAAAACTTATACACAGAGGTTACGGTAAAGGTAACTGTGTCGCGAGTTCGATTGCTTTTTCCTATCTCAAACAACTCCTATCGCGCCTAAAGAAATTTTCACTTCAAAAGTTTTCACTTCGACAGAAGTGTCAGTAACGGTAACGGTCTCGTATGTGACGACAATGTGCGGATGCATAAAATGCTATGTTATATTAAAGCCGAGTACGTTCTTGTTACCACACACGTTTAAAAGTAGGGATGTATAAGATGAGCTGTAACGTCAAACGGTGTGCGTGTGACCCTCAGACAACGGCGCGCGGCGAGTCGTGGCCGATCGACACGCTGTGCTGGGAGTTCACCGTCATGCCGCTCGAGGAGAGCAGCTTCGTGCGTCCGCCGCGCGACGGCGGCGTCTACATACGGTGAGCCACTCACCACTCACTCGCACACGCTCACACTGACACTCCGTGCGTCTACATACGGTGCGCCACTCACCACTCACTCGCACACGCTCACACTGACACTCCGTGCGTCTACATACGGTGCGCCACTCACCACTCACTCGCACACGCTCACACTCGCTCACACTGACACTCCGTGCGTCTACATACGGTGAGCCCACTCACCACTCACTCGCACACGCTCACACTGACACTCCGTGCGTCTACATACGGTGCGCCACTCACCACTCACTCGCACACGCTCACACTGACACTCCGTGCGTCTACATACGGTGCGCCACTCACCACTCACTCGCACACGCTCACACTGACACTCCGTGCGTCTACATACGGTGCGCCACTCACCACTCACTCGCACACGCTCACACTCGCTCACACTGACACTCCGTGCGTCTACATACGGTGAGCCACTCACCACTCACTCGCACACGCTCACACTGACACTCCGTGCGTCTACATACGGTGCGCCACTCACCACTCACTCGCACACGCTCACATTGACACTCCGTGCGTCCTACATACGGTGCGCCACTCACCACTCACTCGCACACGCTCACACTGACACTCCGTGCGTCTACATACGGTGCGCCACTCACCACTCACTCGCACACGCTCACACTGACACTCCGTGCGTCTACATACGGTGCGCCACTCACCACTCACTCGCACACGCTCACACTGACACTCCGTGCGTCTACATACGGTGCGCCACTCACCACTCACTCGCACACGCTCACACTGACACTCCGTGCGTCTACATACGGTGCGCCACTCACACTCACTCGCACACGCTCACACTCGCTCACACTGACACTCCGTGCGTCTACATACGGTGAGCCACTCACCACTCACTCGCACACGCTCACACTGACACTCCGTGCGTCTACATACGGTGCGCCACTCACCACTCACTCGCACACGCTCACACTGACACTCCGTGCGTCTACATACGGTGCGCCACTCACCACTCACTCGCACACGCTCACACTGACACTCCGTGCGTCTACATACGGTGCGCCACTCACCACTCACTCGCACACGCTCACACTGACACTCCGTGCGTCTACATACGGTGCGCCACTCACCACTCACTCGCACACGCTCACACTCGCTCACACTGACACTCCGTGCGTCTACATACGGTGCGCCACTCGCCACTCACTCGCACACGCTCACACTGACACTCCGTGCGTCTACATACGGTGCGCCACTCACCACTCACTCGCACACGCTCACACTGACACTCCGTGCGTCTACATACGGTGCGCCTCTCGCCACTCACTCGCACACGCTCACACTGACACTCCGTGCGTCTGCATACGGTGCGCCACTCGCCACTCACTCGCACACGCTCACACTGACACTCCGTGCGTCTACATACGGTGCGCCACTCACCACTCACTCGCACACGCTCACACTGACACTCCGTGCGTCTACATACGGTGCGCCACTCACCACTCACTCGCACACGCTCACACTGACACTCCGTGCGTCTACATACGGTGCGCCACTCACCACTCACTCGCACACGCTCACACTGACACTCCGTGCGTCTACATACGGTGCGCCACTCACCACTCACTCGCACACGCTCACACTCGCTCACACTGACACTCCGTGCGTCTACATACGGTGCGCCACTCGCCACTCACTCGCTCACGCTCACACTGACACTCCGTGCGTCTACATACGGTGCGCCACTCACCACTCACTCGCACACGCTCACACTCGCTCACACTGACACTCCGTGCGTCTACATACGGTGCGCCACTCGCCACTCACTCGCACACGCTCACACTGACACTCCGTGCGTCTACATACGGTGCGCCACTCGCCACTCACTCGCACGCGCTCACACTGATACTCCGTGCGTCTACATACGGTGCGCCACTCACCACTCACTCGCACACGCTCACACACGCTCACACTCGCTCACACTGACACTCCGTGCGTCTACATACGGTGCGCCACTCGCCACTCACTCGCACACGCTCACACTGACACTCCGTGCGTCTACATACGGTGCGCCACTCGCCACTCACTCGCACACGCTCACACTGACACTCCGTGCGTCTACATACGGTGCGCCACTCGCCACTCACTCGCACACGCTCACACTGACACTCCGTGCGTCTACATACGGTGCGCCACTCGCCACTCACTCGCTCACGCTCACACTGACACTCCGTGCGTCTACATACGGTGCGCCACTCGCCACTCACTCGCACACGCTCACACTGACACCTCCGTGCGTCTACATACGGTGCGCCACTCGCCACTCAGTCGCACACGCTCACACTGACACTCCGTGCGTCTACATACGGTGCGCCACTCGCCACTCACTCGCACACGCTCACACTGACACTCCGTGCGTCTGCATACGGTGCGCCACTCACCACTCACTCGCACACGCTCACACTGACACTCCGTGCGTCTACATACGGTGCGCCACTCGCCACTCACTCGCACACGCTCACACTGACACTCCGTGCGTCTACATACGGTGCGCCACTCACCACTCACTCGCACACGCTCACACTGACACTCCGTGCGTCTACATACGGTGCGCCACTCACCACTCACTCGCACACGCTCACACTGACCACTCCGTGCGTCTACATACGGTGCGCCACTCGCCACTCACTCGCACCACGCGCACACTGACACTCCGTGCGTCTACATACGGTGCGCCACTCGCCACTCACTCGCACACGCTCACACTGACACTCCGTGCGTCTACATACGGTGCGCCACTCGCCACTCACTCGCACACGCTCACACTGACACTCCGTGCGTCTACATACGGTGCGCCACTCGCCACTCACTCGCACACGCTCACACTGACACTCCGTGCGTCTACATACGGTGCGCCACTCACCACTCACTCGCACACGCTCACACTGACACTCCGTGCGTCTACATACGGTGCATATTTACTAAAAATAACAATGGTTGTTTTATAATAATCACAGAGGTCAGTACCTGGAGGGGGCCTCCTGGTTCCGCAAGGAGGGCTACCTGGCGGAGCCGTTGCCCATGCAGCTTGTGTTTCCCATGACCCCCATACACTTCAAACCTGTGCGGATCACCGGCAAGCGGCTGCGCAGTAAGTACAGCAAATACCAATCTTTTATGCCCTTAGTTTTTAGATACTACAACAATGTAGTAAGGAGCCAGTCTTACAGTATTGGCATATGATGTGTAACATGACGACCGGATGGCGTAGTGGTTTGTGTAACGTACTGCTATTCCAAAGGTCGCGGGTTCGATTACCGCTCAAGTCAAACATTTGTGTGCATGAACATTTAATGTTTGATTTGGTCTGGGTGTTTCTATGTATAATATGTATGTATTTACAAAAAAAAAAGTATATATGTATTTATATCAGTTGTCTAGTACCCATAGTACAAGCTCTGCTTAGTTTGGGACTAGATGGCGTTGTGTGTATGTGGAAAAAAAAAACATCTGACATTTCATCTAGCATCTGATGGACATGTAGGCGCACGCGCTTATTGGTCAAATCGGTTAAATGTATCCTGTTAGTTTTTAATGAAATGTGAAAAAAATAATAAACACAAACTCAAACTCTCTTTATTTCATAAAATTTTCAAAATTGTTCCAAATCGTCTTTTATGTAGACTCTAAAGTCATAGATCAACACACACAAAAGCAACAATCACTGTTTTGTCAAATAGTAAGCAAATAAATTTAACAAAAATGAAACCCATACAAAATCTAGATATGCCTGCGCCGATCTACAACCGCCCGTTTTCAAGGGGTTGAGCCTTATGAGAAGAAAGGGCAAACAAACTCATTTAAAAAAAAAAATAGTGTACCTTTGTCAGGCTTCCTGTTACACACTTCCGTCACTTTTCAAGAAATTACTGTTACAGATAGCAGAAACGCGAGAAGAAAATTTTTGGACATCAACAATGTTTGAAATATCAAAAATTAAATCTTCATCCTTCTTCTTTTTTCCTGACTAGGTTGGAGTCGGCGTTAAGTCTACCACGATTCCACTGAACTTCGATTTTTACTCAAAGCGACTGTCAGCAGACCTGCACAACCCAAGTACTAGGCGATATCGAAGTTCTGTAGAAAGATTGTTGTTCAGCTTTTTAGGTTTCCAACCACCCGTAACGATTCCCACAGATGTTAGTATGGCATTCTCAACTGATGAATTAATGTGATCTCCGAGGCACAGACGTGTCTCAATAAGTTGAGAATGGTCACTCATCTTTATCTCTCATGGTCTTAGACTGACCTGGCTAGGAATACTTGATTTCGCGATATGTTAACCGATTCAGTTAAGAATTGGCCACGAGCTCCTTTTATTAATTAAACAATATATGTGTAATAAAAATGTTAGCCAATTATCCAAATCGTCTTCAAGAACATGAATGCGGCTTAGGGAAGAATCACAATAGGATCTATTGCAAAAATTGTATTTAATTGTGAGTCATTGTTTACGCTTGTCCTCAGATCGGTACATCTGTCCGTGCTACTACTACCCTCTCCGTAAGGGCGCGTTCGTGGTGGCCGTGGACCTGCCCTCTGGCAAGGAGTCCGCCGACTTCTGGGTCAAGCGCGGCACGGCCCTGCTCTGCACTCTCTCCGCATAAATGTATTCGCGGGGTGGCTCTGCACCATTGTGCTGATCGTATAACTTTAATGTTCACTAGCTCAATGTGATTATACAACTCGACCAATTTAAGTACAACTCAATAGAAATCTCTATTTGAACGACATAATTAGTAGTGGAGATATAGCGAAACAAAGCTATAATTATTTTATAACTAACTTTATTTGGGTGAAAGTAAGATTTCTGCGTGATAAAAAATGTGTGCACTTACCCTGAATCTCAAAAATGAACAGATTTTTGTTACACAAATGTAAATGAAAAAAAATCTGCTGTCTGTAAAGTCAGTTTACTGACGATAGTTGAACGTGACAACGTCATAAGACACCACATTCACTTTTCACTGCACTTCATACTTGACGAAAACATGTAAATGTATTATTGTATAGCAGCTGTCCACGCGGACGCATCGCTCACTCAAGTAGGAGAGAGACAGATGTCGAACGCTACCGAACCGCGGAGGCCGATTGTGCCTCTTTGTCGCTCCTACCGCGCTCTCGCTTGCACTTCAAGCCTTAAATGGAACGCCTCAGAGCGAGGTAACGCCGCATGAGTCATGTTTTTTCGTGCGTGCAGCCGGCTCCATCGAATTATAAGACGTTGTCACGTCAAAAATGAAGATAGTTTGGAATATAACTGTTCACTTACTGCGGAAAGAGAAGAAGAAGAAAGCGTAGATCAAATTGCTCTAGATGTTGCCACATATTTGTGGCGATTACGGTCAATGTTTAAAGTTTACCCCACACATGTTCAAGGACATATCCTATGAGAGGTGAGAGCTCATCTTGGTGTTGTTTCAATAAAGTGGATGAAAAATAACTTATATTTAGCAGGTCAAGAAAATTTTATCAAATTAGGATGAAATGAACTTGATTTAACATAGTCTACACAGCTACTTCTGTTTGTGTTACATGAACAACGATGTGTTATGTTTCCCATTGCGAAATAAAATGCAGCAGAGCGAGGAATTCTCTCTTACTTTATAATATAATTAGTTATATCCCAGTGATTGCAGTGATATTTGTATTCCGCCTGTATGCGATATTATTTTAGTTATGCCTAATTTTAATTATTATATAACGTTTAATTTTAACTGTTTTTTTATTCATATCCCCGACCTCTGCTCTGAAAGTTTGTGTACAAGAAAACAATTTGTAACAATTTCATGTTGACTGAGAGACTGAAAATTAGTTAAAACCTTTTGCATTATTACACCTTCCCGGGACCACAAATGAAATTGGGAAATTTGTAGGAAAATGACGCTAACGATATACTGTGCGTACATTGGCGTCAACAGATCTTAAAATAAACTCAAGACTTAGTATAGATAACATTTATTTTTCAACGTATATACTTGGAGCCATGCTCATTGACGCGTTAATGGAATGTTCCTTCTTCCTCTATAAGACTTTCGATATCTAGAACTTCACTAATAGATTCAAGCAGTGGAGGTGCCTTACGACGCTGATTTACTGTTCGTAACAGTTATATGAAGTTTAAGATCCAGGTGTTAGAGTTCGAAATTCTAAGTAGTTATTTGATAAAAAAACTTACTTTTTACGTATAGCATGCCAGATCTTATTTATACAATTACGTATCAAAAACACAGCTTTAGTTAATGCTTTAACAAATCTATATTATATTATATGCGGAGAGTGTTGTTATTAATCTTGCCAAGGTTGTCTTTATTTCCCAATGCCTGCACCAATCTCTATCACAGGTCTGTTAGAGTTGGGATTTATTCCGATGCCTGCCTCAATTCCCAATAAACTCCCCAAGCCTGCGGTAATCCCTAGCCCAAGCCGATTGGTATTTCCCGAAGTATTTTCGTTGTTTGTTTGCTGCGGTGTCGGTGATGGTGCCTCGACTTCTCGTTGAAGTGTAACATCTGAGGCGATGGTGCGACTACAGTGGGCCTGGGTGTAGTTTTGCCTAAGGTGACACCAACGCCAATTAAGTTCGGGATGCTGAGTCCTAGAATTCTACGACGTTTTCTGGACAATGTTTCTGTGAAACAAAAGTTTTGGAATTAGTACATATAAAGTTATATAATTTTATCTGAGTTATAATACGGATTATACGAGTAATACGGTTGCTCAGCACTAATAAAATTTTATACATATCTGTATTCGTTTAGAATCCATACTTTATCTATAATATGTATGCATTTAGAAATATATAAGTATGTTTATCAACAGTTTGGTTACTATAGTACAGACTCTGCCTAGTTTGGGATCAGACCGCCGTGTGTGGGATGTGTGTGAAATATTAAAAATATTATGATTTTATTTTTGTTTTCTTTTGTTATTAGTTGTGGAAATGTAATATATTTATGCTGTTACTCTTTCGAGTAAAACCACAACGCGAACCTTAGCATCAATAAGTTTTTGTAAAAATTTGTATGTTGAATGTTATTTGTTTATGATTATTTTATAACTTGTACCGCATTTATGTTATTATATTACTGGATAAATTTAATCAGTTTAATTACATAACTTTACTTTAATTAAATTTTAAAATAGTATCACCGCCCCCAATGAGCCATCATGGTAAATTGAAGGTAGGGGTGGTATTTTTCTGAAAATGTTTCAATTAGTGAATTTATACATACCTTTAGAGTTGACGATGAAAGCATCCGCCAAAGACGCGGCCGCCTGAAAATATAAGGTTTGTGAATTGTAGTGGCTACCATTTTTTTTTTTTTTTTCTTAAAGACAACACCCGCATTAGGAATAAATCCTGTGTCGCGGGGGACTTTACAAACATACATGAAACGGACAAAAAGAACACCCAGACTTAGAACAACAATTTGTGGATCACACAAAGTGTCGTCCCATGTGGGGTTTGAACCCACAACACTCGGCGTAGTAGGAAGCGGCGTGGCGACCGCTTAAACCACTACGCCATCCGTGCAATCAAATTGAACCATTAAATACTAATAAATGCAATGAACACAGAATGTGACGAGACACGCGTTCAAAAGGTGGTTAAGCACTTTGCTTTTTACTTTCATGACTTTTGATTTATTACGCACGGTATATAAAAAAAGAAAGAAGAAAAACAGTTCAGACTAATTTGACTTTGATCGAATAACTTTGAATAACTTAAATTTTGCTATAAACCTTAAAATTTGAATAAACCTGTTAATTATTAGCGCTCTTAGTCTTCGAAGCAACATTTCCATGATTTTCTATTTCAGAAATAAAAAGAAAAATCAACAAGCGTATATAATTATGTTACTCCATAGTTAAGTACTTCAATTAAATTATGTCATTGTTCTGATGTAAATTATGCATTTTAAAAGTTAACGTTTTGACAATAATACCTAGTTAGCAATTAAGTAATTATTCGTGTACAGCACTTGTGTTTAAATATCTTAATATAAAGTCCAATATTTAGTACCAACTACGCAATATGGACACTGTAGTGTGGAGAACAATAAAATAAGGCCAAGATAGTCCATAGTTAGAACTTACAACTACCCGTTGTTAAAAGTGAAAACTTCGTCTACATTTCTTTGCTCTGAAGTTTCTATTCAATCGATTTTCTGCTGCTTCTTTTAGAAATTTAACTATGTTTAATAATTGTTTGAATTTTTTTAGAATCAGGAATGTTATTGATACTCTCGTAGAAATCGTAAAACAAATCATCATAATAACGGTGGATGACAGAAAAATATATTATATCACATTGTAATTCTCTCCTACGTTCATAGGAAGACGTTAAACAATACGTTTGAAAGAGAAACTCGCTTGAAAGACCATTGAATAACACAATTATGTGATAAAATGTTAAGATGAGAAAAAGGAAAGAATCAGTAGAGATTAATATCTCTACTGAACGAAAGTTTGAAAACAATTAGAAACAAATAAAAATATACTTACGATTAGTACCACCAAAACTATAGCAGACTTCATGATTGAGATGCAATTGCCAAAACAATACTGTTGCTATAGCCCAATGTGTTCTGTACCTCGACAATCGATTAACAGCTATTTATATTAAACGCAAACTTGTGCTAATAAGTCATTTCCTCGCAATGCGGTGGTACGTCACCACATCTGAACAAATATTAGCACACGGAAAATTGAAATTTAATTGGAGGCTGCAGTTACAGCATCTTAAAATGAAATAGAGGGTAAGGTTAAAATAAACTATAATAAACTTAATTAATATAAATAAAAAATAGATGGCCCAATGTGTGTGAGTGTGTGCGTGTTGCCCAAGGCTCATAACGCTATATCTAATACAGGCTGAACTCCCTCTGGACCGTATCCAACGAAGAGCGACTCGAATCGTCGATTGCCCAAACACCTCCGATCTTTGGCGTTGCGTAGAGATGTGGTTTCACGCTGCATTCTCTATCGCATATATTATTATTATGAAGAGTGCTCCGAGGAATTGTTCAATCTAATACCATCAAAACTTTTTCACACGGCCATATTTTCATCCTCATCACCTGTGTGGTTATTTTTAGTTAGCGCTCCACTACTGTGCGCTTTTCGAGACACTTTTTGCCCCGCACAACTAATCTGTGGAACGGGTTATCGTCTGTGGCATTTCGGGACCGATACGACCTTCAAACCTTCAAGAAAAGAGCGTACTCCTAAAAGGCAGCAACGCGTTTGTGACTTCTTTAAGTTAATGTGTGATATGTGGAAGAAGTAAGTTTCCACAGTTTATCGGACTTCCAAGATATGTCACAGATAATTGACTGTTAGGATATTAGTCTGGTTTTAAACTACTTCTTTAAATTTGAGCTTGGGAGCTATCCTTATGGCGACAATTGTAAAGTATTTGTTGCTTTGAATGCGATATAATTAAGTTATTTAATGCATAGGATACAAGCTTTTGTGCAGAGCTGCGTTCATGTTCATCACGTAATTATCGACTTCGTCCATGACTTCTCGGGAGTCATTTTCTTCTCTGAAGTCAACGGGAACCATAAAACAAAATGTATTTCTTGTTTGTACTCTTGAGAAGAAAAAGCGCACTTTGCTTTAGAGCACTTTAAAGCGTGATGTTTCCTACGATACGATGATTTAGTTGTATAGTTACTCTTTTTGTAATCACAAAATACTCTTCGGACCTTCTTGCGTTTCATACAAAAAATAGTTAAATGAAAATGTCATAACCTAATTATTTGCAAAGAACTACTAACAATTACCAAGATTGCGATTGAAGAACTAAGTAAATTTCATATAAGTAATTTACTTACATATAACGTATGGTTAAACAATACAAAAGACAAGAAATAACAATAACTCTTGTTTTTATAGATCGAATGAAAAGGTAGAGCTTTTAGAGAATCTACGTGTTTAATACGATCATAAACAAAGACGGTGGTCCGTGTGGTGACGGATTAAGAATACAGAATGTCATTACCCCTATTCGTTCGTAAGAGCCGACTAAGGGTACAATTAAACTGCAACGTGAAGGAAAACGTGAAACAGACCCTATACTAACCCGACTGGCCAGCGTGGCATAGTAGGCCCAACCCTCCTTTCTAAGGAGTGGCCTATGTCCAGCAGTGGACTAGTAAAGGTTGTTGATGAAACAAAGACTTTCTTTTGTTGTTGTTCACCCAGAGAATGAGGTTTCCCGAGCCCAAACCCCTCCTCCAACTGAATTTGAGGAGGAGCTCAGAGGCATCTTACTTCTGGCTCTTGACTTGCAGATGTCCACGGGCTGCGCGGCGCTAGTCATTTACCATGCGGTGACCCGTCTGCTCGATTGCGCCTCTATACAAAAAGAAACATTATCAAAACCCGAATATTTACATCATGCTGTATTCGCGAGCATCATGATTGCACTAGACACAGTATCTATAGGTTCAGGTGGTCTTAAAGTCAATGGAAGGCCGTCTATAATTAAATATTGCTTCCTCAAGGTTGTAGACGTTTTATGTTCTACTTCCGGGCAAGTGTATTTATCGTTGGAGTCAGCAAATAGACTAGTTTTGTTACATCTTATATGTGAAAATAATTTTGTACCTCTTGATTGAAAATGAAAACATATCAGATTCTAAATCAAGCAATCACAACATGTTAAACGCTAATAATGCATTGAAATTCGTATTAAAGAATATAGGTGTACTAAAAATGTCAGCCAATCACCTGATCGTCTAAAAAACCTTAATGCGGCTAAGTCAACTGCTGCACTCAAGTCAAGTCAACTTATTTTCGTAGGAGCTTTAGTTTTCGCTACGGACGCGAAAAACTGATTTTTAGCATTTTTGACATATTTTAACTTACTGAACTTAGCTGAGAATTTTTGTTATAATATTTATTGCAATATATTACTGATAGTTTATTCTTCAAAAAAAATCCGCTACAATAGGAATTTGCCGGATTTTTCAGGATTTTTTCGCTAATTCTACCTGTCAATTGGTGTTATCTATGTGATTTACTCTGATTTTTACTTTATAAACGTTTTTGATAATCCGATTAAATCCAAGACATTAAAAAAAACTAATTTTGTAGGTATATTAACGGGCATCTTTATATTATATAGAAAAGGTATAGTACTGTGTGATGAGTTATCAACAGCCTCTAATATTCCACTGCTGGACATAGGCATCTCCTTAGGAAAGAGGTTTTGGCCTACTATACCACGCTGATCAGACGAGTTGGTATAGGGTTTGTATCAAGTTTTCGTTCTTTGCAGCGCTTAAAGTAGGAGAGCTACTTTTTTCCTGTAGTGTTTGCTTCCTTCATCATCATTATCATCAACAGCCTTTACTAGTCCACCCAGTCCAGTAGTTGGTATAGGGTTTGGTCAAGTTTTCCTTCTTTTTGCAGTGCTGGTGTTTTGCGTTGTTTGCGCCTTTAGTCGTCTCTTACGACACCCACGGGATGAATTGGGGTAGTGACATTCCGTATTCTTAATCCATCACACACTCGCACACACTGACAAATACAAGTATGTCTACAAATACATTTCATTATCATAAATTCTATTGTAAAACTATTGTACCTCTAATTAAGGCTCTGACTCCTAAGATACAGGTAAAACAACCTAGTTTAGGAGATACAGCACTTATCAAAATGTATCTTTAATGGTTTAATAAACTTAATAAATAATAATAATTTTCTACCACATTCACACAACGCCCAAACTAAGCAGAGCTTGTACTATGGCTACTAGACAACTAGGGGTCCAGAAGGCGATAACTACCAGGACCGCCCCTAAAATAGAAGCGCAAAGAGGGCACACCGTGCGGTTTTAGTCGGTTCGAGTCCGACACATCGCCCCGCCGAACAGAGAACCCCGGCGGGGTGACGGTCCGAGGGGATTTCCACACGTACAAAAACAAAAAAAGGCTACTAGACAACTGATATAAATGCATATATATATATATGTATATTGTAAATATATACTTTTTATCTTGTTTGTTTGTTTATCGGATTATCCTTAAGGCAAAGTAGTCACTCGCTCAGGGGCGCGAGGTAACAATTTATTTTTCAAACAAAAATACGCCTTACATAAAAAGAACTGTGTCAGTAAGTATGCACATACTTACACAATTTAAACAATTCCCTAATTCTATAGAGATGTTTAAGGTTGACATCTAGGGTTTATATTACGTAATTGTCACTACTTCTTTGCTTGCACCTAGGAAGATTGAGTTTGTGTACAAAAATCCAGTTCCACTACAGCTGCAGTTCTAGCACTGCAGCTGTAGTGGAGATTATTCTATGAATCGGTAACAGACTAAGGATGTCCAACCATATTTAGTGCACGGTCACTATACGGTGCACTAGTGTGAGTGGAAACTCTGAACGCCCAGAATATAACGCGCCTCTAGCACCTTCAGAAGGCGAAGGGAATTTAGAGGTGGCAATGAGTAGCGTTAGGCCGCTCACCTAGCCACAAGCTGGTCATCGTCGAGTGATCACGGTGTCAGCACGGGACTCTTTCTTTCTGACTGTCGCAAGTCCTTTGTAAGCGTGTCTGCTGCACGTCTGCTGGGAGAAGTACCCGCAGTCGAACGCTAGGAATGAATTGAGTTACGCCTGTCACCACTGCAGTGAGAACTAGGCTCATCACACACGACGATTTCTCGCTACCAGCCGTTACACGCTCCATGGGTGGATCGCCTTCCAGCACCTCATGCCGTCCTGAGTGTAAACTCATGTTGACGGGTTTTCCTCTCCAAACCTGAGGGAGCCTGCCTCATAGTAGGAGGCACTCCCTCCGCCACCTTTTTCTGCAAGCAACTTATACTCGAGAAGGAGAGGCCGGAGCGGGACCTAAAGATGCTCAGAACTCTCCCGGTTCGCCAGGCCGTTGACATGCCACTGTCATTATGTTTATTTCTTTAAATTTCTGCCTCATTGAAAAACAATTGCCTATATTATAAATTGCTCGAATCGCTCTCTTTTGCAGCACAAAAATAGTTTGAATGTCAGCAGCACTTCCCCACAGTAGAATACCGTACGACATTATGCTATGAATATTAGTAAATTCTCGGATTTTTCCGAATATTTATTTATTATTTATTAGAATCTAGTGTCATTCCTAGAAATGCCGTAGTATCCACAAGGTCTAACTCGACATCCTTATACATTACAGTGGTTTCGCTTAGTTTTTTATTCATTCAAAAGCAAATATTAGGTCCTTACATATGAAATTGGCGTTCTGTACGGGTGGAATATAAAGTCATTTTTTTTTTTGTAAAATATATTTAATTAATCAAAGTATGCACCGTTGTTGTTTATGCACTTTTGCCATCTCATAGGCAGTTCATTGATCCCTTTACTAAAAAAACTATGGGGGTGAGAATCAATAAACTCTCTGAAGGTGGTTTGGACTGCCGCATCGAAGTTGAATTTTTTCCTTGTAAGAAGTTGTCCAAATTCCGGAAAAAATGGTAATTTGTTGGAGCAGGGTCCGAGGAGTACGGTGGATATCGCAG